ATCATGAGGGAGGATTTCATTTATAGTTGCGTATTTTCTGGGCTAATGCTTGTTTTTTTCCCTGGTTATTATTGTATGTTCTCTGTGTGTCCTAGTTTGATGCTGGTTCAATATTGGTTTGACTGAGCGATGTATGTTTAGCCTTCTTTTTCTTTTTCTAACCTTGTTTTTTTCTTTTACAAAATGATTTGTAAGAAGAAATGTAATGGGAACGGACAATTGTGATTTTCTACTGTGTAATACGTGACATCAAACTGTGCTAAAAGTGGTGCCGCAATGTCAAATTTCACAGACCAGATGCTATGGCCATAAGTAAAATCTGGCCTTCTAAAAATGTAAATTGAATAATCCTGCCGTATAGGATGTCATTGAGAATATGTTTGATTATATGTGGTCATAATATACAAGTTCATAGGTTAATTTAAATCAAAGCCCATATCTGATCATTTAAGTCAATATCATATGCGTGTGTAGTGTATAGTGTATCAACAAAATGCAATACAAAACATGCATTTATATATTATTTATCCATTTTGATTGTTTTTCCAGGTAAAACTGATAAAACTGAACGGTGTATCATCGCATCTGCAGGATTTCGCAGTCCAAGTCCTACTAGAAAAGAACAAGATTTAGATTAACTTTTACTCACTGAAACTACATGGACATTTCCTTTATAGAAATCTTGACTTTTTTTTATCATAAAGCCTTTTTCACTGGTGAAGTGTGTTGTTGGCACCAGCTAACACAATGCCGTCGCCATAACTCTTTGCTCTTATTCTTTCCAAGATGTTTACATTTTCATACTATTTCCTCCACTTTGGATTTTTCCGCCGCAATGCCACAATGAAAACACAGCAATTCAATACAGCACATGAATGAAAAACGCTGAGAACCACTGCTTCTCACTGATAAGACTTGCAAGGATAGAAATATTGCACAAAAGTCACACTTGAGCCTCACTTGAGCAGGCACACCGCAATATTAAATGAAGTACTTTATATGTGTAGTTTACTATGTTTGCAAGATATATTTATTTTTTGTTCTGGTTTTAAATGACTGGATGTAGTAAGATTTAAAAAAAAAAAAAAAAAAAACGGGGAGAAACAGATTTTAAGGCGGTGTGACGTGGAAGGCCGAGGTGAGGCTCAATCTGAATGAAGCTTCCTTTAATCCTTCATTTATGTGAATTCAGCTTTGGAAATGAAGCTGTCACTGTATTTTCCCATCACCCATTCTGCAGCAGACCCCCACACACTCACACACATATACACATATATAGGACTGGGATGGAAACACAGAAAATCACTCAGGAGAGGTCTTAAATTCATTCCCGAGTTGGAGGCAGAGATTCATAGAGCATCACCTTGTCTCCTGGAGGAGGTATCATCGGATATGTGGGAGACAGAGGGGAATTATGGGTAAATGCACTGGTGAGGAATGATAGTCGGCAATCTCCGGCACTAATCTGGCAACGCTGACACATGCCATTCATTTCAGACTAGGCCAATATTCCCATATTGCAAGTTGCATGAGTGTAACTTTGTTTTTGGGATGCATCGTCCAACTTTATATAGGTGTGTGTTGAAATTCTGGAGTTACAAATATCAAGTGATAAGACTACTACTGTTTTGATGTCTTACCAATGAAAAGATGCAAATACAATTAAAGCAACGGTGTAAGCATATCCCAGGCTAAAATATTCCAGGATATATGTTTATTTCTGTTTTTAAATTACTTTTCAATTTATTTTCACTTGAAATGACCGAGGCAGAAGGGCAGAGGGAATGGATATGACTGACTGAAGGGATGCATAACCATAGATGTGCACTGCCATCTAGTGGACAGTCGCTTTCAGACTGCGTGAAGTGCAGAGGGACAAAACCTAGATTGAATGTTTGCAGAATACTTACTTGTCACACAATTGTCATACACAATAATGCTTTTTTTTTCTTATTTCTTATAATACATTTAAATTACTAAACTTCAGAAACGCAACAAAAGAACAAAAAAATGACCAAGGCAATATATTATTTATTAAAATGCCTTATTGATTATGGCAAATATGTCTCTCTGTTTTCACTACTTTATACTTTTATATATATTGGTCTACACTTCTGCCATAATGGAATATTCTATGTCTGTTTATACATTTATAATTTACATTCTTTGTTCATCTGACTGCCGTTTTTGCTGATTATACATTATCAGGGTCTTTCAAACTTGTCGTATAAAAGCTGTGAATAATAAGTTCTTAATTAAAACATCAAATATGTGAAATCATTCCCATTGTCATTGTAAATGCCACTTGAGTGGCATGCACAAATAAAAGTGTATTTTTCCACAAGCCTTGAAAAATATAAAAATAAAATAAATTCTTTTTCCCTCACCAGTCCTGTCGGCCCCCTCCTCCCCTCTCTTCCCCCCCACTGAGGTGCAGCCAGAACCGGTGTGTTTCAGATGAGATGTGTGACTGGCATGCTAACACGCAGTTTTATCAGAGGCAGAGAGAGACACATCTCCTCACTATAGACCTTTGATTAAAGTACTCTGTGGCCCAAAACACACACATAAATATATATACAGGAATGTACACAGACCCCTAAAGATTATAAATAAATTGCAGGTAGAAACACATAGAGAATAAAGCTGTAAACATACTTCTTCATTGGTGAGTGGTTGTTGTTTTGACCCCTGCCTGCTGCCTGCTCCATTATGGTGTTGATAGTGAGGATTTGGCCATGTTGATTCTAGACAGCAGCACATCCACTCTCTTCCATAAATAACTCGCATTGTTTGAGTCATACAACAAAATATACGTGGAGAGAGCTCCCGGTTTGAATTGCCCGCTGCCGACAGCTATCGTCAAACTGCAGGGGCATGTGTCGAGGTTAAAGGGGAGCTTTTATGGCAGTGCATTTAGAAGTAAAATTGTGCTTTTAGTAATTGTATGAATTTTCACCTCTTTCAAGCTATTAAGAGGTATTCTAGAGGAATCCTGAGTCAGATTTTTTTTTTTTAATTGACCAAAATGTACCATTGGAATATTGATGGTACATTTGTATCCATGTGGTGATGGGTTACTCTAATTACTATATGTCAGATATAACATTCAGTGTCATTATTATAGTCGACTGAAGACATTCTTGGTAAACATCCACACTACACTCACAAAACTTAAAACTCTAAACTATTTAACAATCAAAAAAATACTGATGAAACACATACATTGAGAGTTTAACCTGACTTGGATATCAAATTAAACACAAAACTCTTCCGTCAATTTGCTCCTTATCTTTTCATGTTTGCATTCTCACATTTTGAGAATTTGCGAAAGTGAAAGTCGACCAGTACGGTATGTGTTCCACTAAGAAAAGAACTAACAAACAAAGGCATGAAGATCAAAATTATGGCTACATACATATGTTTGTTTTGGACCCATTTTCTCTGCAGATGCCTGGATGAAAGCATATACCTACATTGATCTAGGCTTTCACAATGCATTGCCTTTTGACCTTTTTGAAACAGAAGTAGAAGCAGCGTCGCACCACTCAATACGTTTTACATGCAATTTGGTGACCCCCTATAAGCGCTGGAAAAATGCATTCGTACGAACAGGTGGTGGGTGCCATGACCAGGACGTTGATTCTTTGTCCATTACATTGGTGATAGAGAGTTAGGATTTGGCTGCATACTGTATATCCACTCTTTTTTTTCCACACAAGACATTATTATAGACAGTTAGAACAGTTTGATTCACCCGGATCCATCCACAACGGCGTTTCTTGTTGAGTAGCAAACAAAATCACTAATTTAGAGGCACTTTCAGCATGCAGCTACGTATACAATCATGTTTAGGGGCGTTTTGTATTGGATGGATAGTTGTAGGCAAAGCTAGTTTTGATTTTAGATGAGCAGCATTATCCAGCCGTGCCGTCTCAATAGCCTGCCAATACAGACGCTCCATCTTGGACCAGTGGAAATGCAGGGCGAATGATGACTTCCATATACAAAGTAATAGACAAACCGCACACTGTATTATTGCCGACGGGGAGCCCATGTTGAAACACGCATCTGTCAATTTGACTTTGTTTTGGTCAAATTTTGTGTTGATTTTTTTAGGAATGTGAGGAAAGAATAATGTGTTTAAAAATGATTTGTTGTCCGACCGGGTGCAGATTGTAAATGGACATCTCTTTTTCGATCATCTCGCTATTTGCAATGTTTGGGCAGCGTAACGAGACAATTGTGAGCAAATATTGACGCAAAAAAAAAAAATGATACAACAAGATATTCAAAGCAGAAGACTTTACTCAATGAAAACATTACAAATAGGGAGAAAGAAATCACAAAACTGATTTAATTAGTAATAAATAAATTGACAGCGTAATAACGAGTTGTCAAGGCAGTGTTTGAAATGTATCTGAATGAAATAATCTCTTGAAACTGATTCACAAAATAAATAATGGACAAAAATGTGGCACAATTAATACAATTAACATATATACACGATAGTCCTAGCTTCGATTAATGTCCTTTTTCAAATGTACAAATGATTTTTCCACACATTTAAGGCACAAACTATAATCGCTATATTAATATTGCAGCCATAAGTTAATGCATATAATTAAAATAGACATTTTTTTTTTTTTTTTTCAACATTAACATTATATTAGGAATACACTTGGACGTACAAAATAGAATAGTATAAATCAGGTGTAAAGTATTTAGTAGTATTTTAAGTTAATGACAGCACAAACATGTCTGCCTTGTTATGTTGAACCCTGTGGAGCTTGTTCCATTATCCCCCTCATACAAACTAAAGTTGGGAGACTGGCCTCACATTATGGCTTTAATTACATTTTAGTTAAAGTTGAGAGTCTGATGGGAGCCTCCGCATTACGAGCCCATGACCGCGCACTGCGAATATGCTTTGCTTTCTTTGTTTTGAACCGTGATGGTAAAATGATAAACGAAAGTGGGAGACGTCAGGGCGCAGAGAGTCACGAGTCGGGCTGGGCGGAGGGGGAGGGACTGTACAAGTCTGGACCCTGAGGAGGAGATGGGATGGGCGTGTCCGGAGAGGCTGCAGAACACACAAAGATACACGCACGCACACACACACACACACACACACACAAACACACACACACACCCACTATTTTTAATGATAGAAGATGTTAAAGTATCTCCCACAAAAAGTCACTCTCTCGGGGAAGTAAAAGAGGGGATTATATTGTTATTACTACAATGGCTGTAAAAAAAGTTGCAGTGACATGCTCCTTCAGATAAGATAAGAAAACCTGTATTGGTCAATTCAAGAAGGTTAGATTGGTCTTCATGGGTTACTATGTTTGTTTTTTTACTTTTGGCTCACCCTTCTGCAATGTAACTACGGTCTTTTTAGGTTCTTTTATCTTTCAAAAGAACCTAAAAATATATTCAAACAGAGTGGTAAGGCAAATGTACTCTGCAAGGTTTGCAGTGGTTTACAACCAACTATTTACAAGTTAGTATATTTGTTAAATAATCAGGGTGTAAACTATTATAGTCCTTTAGGCGCCAAAGTAGTACACATACTAGAATTTCTATACAGTGGATTCACACAAACGTTTCCCTACATTGTACATACATATTTATTTTTTATTTGACCTGTTTCTATTCTTTATATCAAATATCTGAGAAAAAGTTGGTGCCTAAAGGGTTAACCTGAGAAATCTATAAAGAATTAAATATAATATTACCAATTAAAACATATTTACCTCCTACACTAATGCTAAGTATTGCCTCTTACCTAGCTGAGCTGTGTGTGTGACAGGCATGGCGCTGATGACCAGTGTGTGTCCTGTCACTGGGTCCTGTGCCAGCTGGGTGTGAGCGGAGTGGTGCAGATGCCCCAGATGCCCCGATTCAGCCGCAAACCCTAAAACAGAGACAACACTAAGGTATCAATTATAAAGTTATTTAGAATTCAAGTGGATAAAGTTAACTCCTTTCCCAACTCTAACCTAGTATTTAGATACCCATGCTACGTTGCTGCCTACACTCACGGACCAGAGGTTAATATATGTATATAACCCTATATAGATAACCCTATATATATTGATTGATTTCTGTATGCAGATGTTTAGCTTGTATGCTCACATGCCATTGAATAGATTTGACTATTTAGGATTAAATGTGTCTTTCTAGTATCATTGTTGTCAATAGATACTATCTAGGTATCTATATATATTTAATCTATAATTAACAATTAAAGTGCTCATCGGAGTCAATACAGACAATATATAGGCTTCATCCATCCCATTTTAAAAAACATGTACTGTATTTACATATACAGTGTGTGCCTGTGAAGAATATTGGTTTGGTTGTGCAGGTTTTTAGATAAATAATGAAATCGAAATCTGCTGTATCTATCTATCTATTTGAAAAGAAAATGCCTGCCTATGTTCTATCTTTCCCTGGCCGTACAGTATCAGAAAGGCAGTTAGTTGGTGGCTGTCTGCTTTTGGCCTCGTCCGTTTCCATGTCAATCAGCGTGGCGGTCATTAGTTGTGGGTGTGCAGTGAAGGTCGGCCATATTGGGAGAGGTCACAGACAGCGGCTCACCTCCGAGCAGCATCTCCTGCAGAAGGTTGTCTATCTTGGCCAGGCCGCAGAGCTTAATGAACTGAAGCTGCTCAATCATCTGCCACGTGATGCTCTGGAGGGTGGGCAGCAGCAGTAACAGCTCCCCAAAGCGACCTCTGGAGTCGTACTGACGGTCATTAATGTAGTCTTCCAGGCTCATCTGGACCTAGACACAGCCACCAGACAAAAATATTTTCAAATTGTGTCTAAAAAGTACAGCCGGCTGCGACTATCGTTTATTTCGCAGACCTTACAACACTGCGTGAGTTGTATGGTCCTTTTGTTTTTATTTTATTTTATTTTGTCTTACTGTTATTTTGTACGGTTTTTCCTATTTGATTTTTAATGATTTAATTCTTATCTTATATTGTGCAGCATTTTTGAAATTTTTTGTTTATGAAATGTGCTATATACATAAAGTATATATGTATAAAAAAAATTATTTATCAGGTTTGAAATGAGTTATTCCTAGCTTGTTAGTGCTGTTTTGGATTTGCAGTCCCCAAGCAGGTACACACACACACACAAAGACAACACTGTGACGGACATCTCCAAGAGGCAACAAACAAAAACATTTGCAAAACATGTTAATAGAATAGTGGTAGAATAACTGTTCCTTCTTACACTTACTGAATTTGTGTTTATTTGCAAAACAGAAACGTGCCATTTGGAGAATATGCTGAAAGCTTCGATATCGTCAAATAAATACAATTTCAATGCAGTAAAAATATGATTAGATCGCTTCTTGCACAAATTGCGTCAAATATACTATTAACAATATGTAGCAAAGGTACTATCAAAAATAAACTTTTTTTTTTTTTTTTTCAAATAAACTCATTATGTAAGTGTACTGGGCAGAGAACGTTTTGTTTTTGTAGAAATGTTTTGCAAGAGCGATGCCCAGACAACATGATCAGAGCCAAGGGGCAGCTCTGGAGTGGTGTTCCCAGTTTGCAGTGGTCAATATCTATCAAGCCGTGTTGAGCCGTGAACATGGGTGATGCAAGTTACAGCCAAGGCTGGATCATTCCTATAAGAAACAACTATACTGCACGGCGTAAATAATTGAAGCGATTAATTCTGTCTCAGATAAACAAGAATCAGGAAAAACAATAGTCGAAAAGGTAGCTTGCTTCTTCTAAGGTAGTTAAGTCTTCCTTCTTCATCAAGATTATATTTTGTTTTAGAGTTATTATTAATTTATCTTGTGCGGTGTGCTCCTCATTCCTAATGTTAATCTTAAATATTGTATACTTTTTCACAAAGAAAGTATCTGGATATAATATTGGCAGAATTTACCTGAAGTCGCATGGCCTTTATTTTGGATGGGTCCCTTAAAGACTTTGCATCTGTAGATTAGAAAACAACATGGTACAAATGGGAGGATTGACAACAATGGAAATGTAATCTAACTTTAGGTCCAAAGTAATGGAAAAACAATGTAAAGAATGAATTGTAAAAGGTCACACTTCATAGACACACGAGGAAGGAATGCAAGGAATGGATTGTACTAAACACTTTGAAATCCTTCCAAATGCAGGATCTACACCGAAATCTCACTGGGGTTTGACAATTTATGTTTTGGCTATGTGGGCTTACATATGCAACACTTCTACCATATTGTAATGTAATCTATGGTGGATCTATGGTAAGAACACATGAATAATGTTTGTTCCCAAGTAATACCTGGGTCAAAGAAGACAATTGCTTTGAGTGCGGCGTATTCATTTTCATCAATCTGAATATCTTGGAAAGGCTGGACCAGCTCATCCAGGACTCGATTGGCCACTCGAGACACCTCCGCCTCAGGACTGTTTCTATGGATCACATACCCATTACCTGCAGGAACACAACATGGTTACTATGAGCAAAGTTTAACATGTGCCGTCAATGTTTCGTGTTTCAAAAGATCTAGATAAGACAGTCATTAAGTGATTGTTTATAAAGCCACGACTATTCCTGAAGATGACTAGTCCTGTTGTTTCTGCTATTTCTCCTACAATACTGTTAATATGATTGCAACAATAGTGACACATGACTACACAGTTGAACAAAGTAAAAGTACCAGGTCCACCACATGAATGTTCTCAGCTCAATAGAAAACAAACAGCACACAGAGTGAGAAATGAGTGATGCATTTGAAAGGAATAACTTTTGAAGTCACAGTGAAACAGAAACATTTAGTTAATCATTTCCTGAGAGGACAGCACTTGATCAGCGTTTACAGTTGAGTGCTAAACCACATGACTCAGCAAGACCTAAGACAGTGGTCATCAGTCAGCCCGTACCTAAGAGCAGGAAGTCCTTGAAGGGCATTGACCTTTTGGCGACTCCCAGTAAGAGGTGTTCACCCGCGTGAGCCCTGAGCAGGCTGACCTGGCATCAACAACACAGGCTTATGTTAACCACAGGTCAGGGGCCAATCAGAGCACAAGAGGCGTGTCAAGTGACCTGGTCATCCAAAGGCAGCTCTCCAAACGCAGGGATGTATTTGGCCCACTCCACCAGCACCAGCAGCTGCTGCCTCATGGAGTCACACACGTCTGAGACAGAGGCCGACTTCTGCTCCGCCAGGTCTCTCAGCACCACCGGGGCTGTGATCTGAGGCACAGCGTCTCACTTTGTCAGAATATTATTTTAGCAATGTAGAAAGGTAATGGAGGTACAGAAGAACTTGAATCGTTTTCATATTATGAAAATAACTGTTTATGCAAATTCCATTTTAACTAACCTTTGTCAATGTTTGTCCTAACCAGTTGGAGAAAGAGAGAGATACATGTCTATCTTAATATTTCAGCCAGTTTACTCATTTGCAGAGTTCATTTAGCAATAGATTAGTCAGTGATTATTTGAAATTGGTAAAATATAAAAGGGTTTCAAAATGCAAGCATTTACGGTTTGACAATGTGGCTAAAGGCTTCAAGGAAAATATTGTTATGCATTTATGTTTGTTTATTTGTATTGAGCAAGTAAGTGGGCATATCAATAATGTAAAGCTGATATATACATTGGATTTCAAATGTCTGTCATAAAAGTGTGACTGTTGTGAAACTGTTTTATTCCACTTATCCAGTCTGCATGATGATAATGATGATTAAATCCTGAACAGTTAATTCACCAGTCCAGTCTCACTAATGGCTAACTCGTGTCAGGGCTCAGTCATAGACTTTCTGAACTACCTGTTGTGACAGAGACTCGGCCTGTGCCAGAATCGTTATAGGTGGAACGTCTTGGGATTGTTCCTGGATGGTTCTTCTTGAGCTTATCCGATCTCTCTCATTCTGTACAGCTGAAAACAACAACACAATGAAACAATATTTGAGAGCTCACACATGCTTCTGTATAAATCATAACATTACATTAACAATATTATCCATGTTGGTTAATTGTACGGCACATTTATTTTCAAAGTTTAAAAGATGACATCACGCACCACATCTATACAGTTTTACATCTGTAAATCATTAACCTGCGACAATCTCAAACAACATGTTTAAATAACCCATGATTAGGCTCCATAAAAGCCTGTGCCAAGGTTATACCCATCATAAACGGGCAGCTCTCAGGCACTTTTACGACCAACATTTTCTAGCATCTTGAAGCAGATTTGAGATTCCCTGACTACACCCTCTGAATAAGTACCACTCCCAGATATCTTAGCATAAATTCATGTTACATATCTTTACCTTCTTTCTTCATCCCGGCCCTGAAGCATTTGTTAAGTCTGCAAAAACGGCATTGGTTTCGCTTATCTTTGTCCACAATGCACTGTCGACTGAACCTATAAAGGCATAGAGTTAACACTACTGTATATGGCTTTACACACAACTCACATGTGACAAAATGTACACAATTGAATCAGCATTTGTAACAGATAGGATTTAACAGTTTGACTAACACTTGACCTGACCCTGACATTATTAACCATTGATTGGGTTTATAATTAACCTCATCATTTGAACTAAGCACATTTAAAACATAGATAACCACCATTGGGTCGGGGTGTTAAACATTGGCCTGTATAATTCCACTTTTACAACGTGAGCTTTCTGTACCTGCATGTATAGACGTGGTTCTTCCGTATGGAGCGCCTGAAAAAGCCCTTGCAGCCATCACAGCTGGAGGCTCCATAATGTTTCCCTGTGGCCTTGTCTCCGCATATAGCACAATTACTGATCATTCCATCTGGACCTGGCACCCCGGGCTCTGTCGGCATGCTGTCTGCAATGCACATCCAAACAATGTCAACAAACATTTATAAAAGTAATACAGCCGCTGCAGGTATGTGAAATGATGTATGCTTTCTAGGCAGGTAATGTTAATGTTATGGAGATAGGATAGTGTCCGACATGAATATACAATTATAGCTCTATGGCAATATTCAGAGGATGTGTTGATAATACGTCAAGAATGTGATTTGGAAGATCACCCTTTGAGTCCCTATATCTACTTTAAGCATGCTTGGAACTGAATTCTAACTTTTTGAGGCATCTCACTTGGTTTTAGGCAATTTAAAGCCAATAAATTAAACAAAAATAGAAAAAAAACACATTATTTGTAATATTAGTGCTCCATGTGATCCTGAAAAAAAAGAAAATACATTGCTTCCTTCAAGGAGTGAATGTTTAAAGGGTTAAAAACTTGCACAAGAAATCAATGGATCAGTACACTTAATTCAATCATGTTTATCTTTGTGAGACCTCTCAAATGAGTCTCTTTTTGACCGACAAAAATACTTGTACTAATATTGCATATGATATAAAACCAAAGCTTTAATTCCTATCTGTATCTTTATACCATGTCGACTCAATACATGTAGATTCCAAGTTCATAAGGTGTGGAATATTTCAATCAATCATTTGTAAGTAAAAAAACATGTTCAAAAAATGACCTTACAACAGAGACACCACAAAATGTAACACATATTCAGGCTGCATCCTACCTCCTCCATAGAGAACGTCTGCATTCTCAAATCCCAGTGTGCTGTAAGAGGGGTCCAGGCCTTCACAATAGTTTGCTACTTCCATTTCTGACAGAGATCTACTCTGAGGAACAGGAGGATACTTCATTCCTAGTCCAGTCTCTCACTATCTTCCTCTTTCCTTGTCCTCTTTCTAATACATTTCCATCTATTTTCCACTGGGACTCAGCCTATTGTAATTGATACAGACATACCTGAGGAGACACCTGGTATAAAATATCTATAAATGTGTGTGATTGGCTGAAAGACAGTAGAGTGGGTGGGACTATGGCTAAGACTTCTTGCCTTATTGCAGGTTACTTATCTCGTCCTTCTCCCTTATCACCCACATAGATAAATGCTTGAAATTGTATTAACTTGTTGTAATCATTTTTGCTGAATTACTTTTGTTAGTGCCTTGGATGACTATATTTTAGCATTATTCAAGTATTGTGTCGGTAGAAAGTATAGCGGAGGCTTCTTTAAGACAATCAAAATGCATGCTGTTGTCAAGAGTGCCCTGGGCCTCCTAATCTAATCAATAGTGGAGTGATAGCAGCACTACCTCTGCAGATACAATCTATAAAGACACAGAGTGAAGTGGAAAACACTGATAACTTCCATTAACTCTTCCTCAAACACAATTCATGGAGTCGCAGCTTATTGTACTGCTCTCAATCAAGGCGCCTTGCATTTTACCCATTTCCTTTTCTTTGTCGGATTTTTGTATTAAGTTTAGCTGTTTGAAATGATGACACTGTGGAATAGCAGGAAAGTCTCATGTAGCAATAACAGTAGTAGTGGTTGTTGTAGTAGTAGTAGTAGTAGTAGAAGTTGTGGTTAGTAGAGATAATAGCAGTAGTAGTATTAGTAGAAGTGGTTGTGAAGGTCATAGTAGTAGTAGTAGTAGTAAAAGTGGTTGTTGTAGTAGTAGTAGTAGTTAGTAGAGAAAATAGCAGTAGTAGTATTAGTTGAAGTGGTTCTACTGGTGGTGGTGGTAGTCGCCGTAGTAGTAGTAACAACAGTAGTAGTAGTAGTAGAGGTTGTAGAAGTAGTAGTATTAATAGCAGTGATAGTAGCAGTCTCTAAGTACCAACAATATTGTTTAAAAGAATTATTTAAAAACATAAAACCAAAAAGTGCAATGATCCACACAATATTATTAATAAAAAGGGCAATTTTTCCACAACTTAAATTTCCACATAGTCCAATAACTTTTTTTATTTTACGAAAAATCAGGTTTGGGTCTGATTGGATAGTAAAAATCTTAACAGCAGCGAGATGTGAGATAGAGCTCATCTAAAGGACGATCAAGTAAACAAGTGAAACTGCTGCCAGCTAGTTGCCTCCTCTGTGTTCGCGGAGCCATAAAACGCCTAATTTACGAGCAAAAACCAGTTAAAATGTCCCCATCACAGCCCCGGTGTCATTGCACTAAATCTTATTGTGAGGCTTAAAGGTAATCACCTCACTGCATTGTGCTGGAGGAGGCTGTAAATGATAAGAGGCCGTGCTATAGGCAATTTGATGGTCTGTATCGGCCAATCACAGAGGGTGTACTAGGAACGTGTGCTGAGATAATGCTATCACTTATGCTAGCTCCGGAGTAACTACATTAAAAGTCATTATGGAGATGATATGGAAATTAAAGGGCCGTTAGATGTAATTGTTGGTGTGTTTTGTGAAGTAGTGTATGTAAGGAGCGTGTAAAGAAGTGATCATAGTTTGATTTAAAGCTGGGGTACCTAACTTTAAAACATAAAAATAAGATGGGGCTAAGTACTGATAATAAGTAATACAACTAGTTCCTCTCTCGGAAATCTGCTGACCGGTTTTCACATGCATGTATTTCAATTCTTTAGATCAGCTTTTGAAAGGATATCATGGTCTGATTTGGTCACAAAATTACACTTTTAGGAGAGTCTTTTTGTTGGGACAATATTTACAGTCTATGGTTGGGACAAACAATATGGATTAATTATGAAAAAATAAAGTGAGGTACCCCAGCTTTAAGCAACGCTCTACCGGGTGAGGAAGAATAATTTGGAAATTGGAGGAAATGTGTTTGACATGTAATATCACAAGAAATCCCAGAGCAGTCCATTTGAAGGCTTTTGGTTTTGGAAGTGTATGTACTGTAGTCAGAGCGTACATTTTTGATTGTCATAACTTTGTGACTTTTTCTGGATGGATATTGTTAATCTCTGTTAGTATCCTCTTTGAAATCACTTCTTAAAACCCACCTTTATCGAACAGTCTTTAACCGCTTGTTTTCAACTTCACGAGCTGTTTTTCACTGTTCCACTTTGTCTTTCCTCTTTCTGCTTTGATTTCCTGTATCTTCCGGTAATGTTTTGACTTTGTATTGTTATGACTTTAAGTGCTAAGATTATGATTTTTTTTTTTTTTTATGTGAGTAGTTCTAACTTTAACTCTCCATTCATTGGAACATCAAATTCCATTTTTGTTACATTTACACTAAAGAATAGCTACAGTAATGTCCATCCCCTATGTATGGACATTATTCAACTTATTCAACACTTCTCTATTGAAAGTGCTATCATCTAACTCCCTGTGTTTTGTAGAAGTGCATCTTATACAGAGCACTTTGAGAGAAAGTTTAAAACCGGTCGTGTTTTATTGTTGAATCATTGCTTGTCCTATCAAAACCGGCCTGTAATAAGTTGTTCGTGTAAAACCAGGCGCTCTTATATGGACAATATTACAAGATGAAGGTTAGTTGAGGTCAGTCTTCATTATGATCATGATAACCCTCTGTAACATATCTGGCAGAGCACATGTGACCGGTGATGGGGGAGCCTCCTAGCAACAGAAAGCCGAGGGTCATAAAGGCTGCTGTGAATGTGTGAACTGCCTCTATCTACTGTATGACCACTGCATCTGTTTAAACAACACGTGAGAACTGCACAGGCCAAACTGTCCACTCATCTTTAGAGGCACTGCTTCTCAAACTGTGGTAGCCTCCTGGTGGTACACACACTCTGCAGTTACATCATTCATTATTTAGCAGAGCCGTAGACAGCTATTGACCAGATGTAGTTTTATACTGGTTTATATGGTGGGACTCAGAAGGACGAATCAATATTTAGAGCTGGTGGTGCTCAGGAGGCAAAAGTGTTTTTTTGTTGGTACTTAATTTGAGAATACTGGGGGGAGAAAACTACATTATGAGTCAATTTGGGTGGGACAAATCAGTAACCTAAATGCAAAAAACAGCAGAGTTGGAAAGTGCAAAACATCTACTGTATGCCAAAGTAATATGTTAAAGCTATATACTTCCAAACCACTAAAAATGGAACTATGTAATACAATTTATCCAACCAGATCCTCACTCAAAACAGCTTGGGTTATCATTGTCTCTCACATGGATTTATTTATGGGTCTGTCTCATCTTTCAGCGTTGTGACAGCTTTTACAGACCTAAAAGTGAAAAAGGAGACCGCCCTCACTCAAACTCTCAGCCCAAAACGTCAAATATCTAATCAGACTCCTCTTTACAAGTGTACAGATACAAAAACATGTGTAATTGTGTGTTTTAATCCTTAACTAATATTCTATTATATATTACAATGTATAACTTGGCCAACACTGAAAAAATGTGGGCTTATATAAACATAAAGATGAGATATGATAAGAGATCAGCTCAAACAAACTAAATATTACATCAACGGATAACAATTGGTCAACCAAAAATATTTAGACATCCTAGAAAAGAGAACACTGAAGGAACTGTCAGTGTCTCCTCTTCCTCTTTCTCGCCGCCAACTTCTCTTCTGTGAACTAAACTCCGTGCGTAAAACGGAGACGCTCTGCTGCTATCGCACTATCTTTACTGCTCGGTCTGCGTGACATCTTATCATCACTTTTACTAAAACGCTGCGTGCAAGGGTAGCCCAGAGCGCAGAGGAACTTATAGACTTTCTACGATAAGAACAAGCGCCAAATAAAAATATACAATCACACGAGAGCGCGTCGAACTAGTCTGTGGACCAACTACTTTACGCACAGAGGCCTCGTCAAACCACGTGACAGAAGACCGCATTATCAACCCGAAAAACAGCCTTCAGGTTCAGTCTAATTGCCTGCAGTGTGTTTGGGTGGAAATGCTCTTACCTTTACGTGCTGTTTCCTCTGCAATGTGCATTTATCCCCAGATAGAATTGCGCCTCGGGTGGGCGACGTTTTAGCGCAACTTAAAGTCCCGCCAGCGCTGAGAAGTGCGTGCTAAAGGTGTGCAGAGACATTGAAAGCAAATGTTGAGAGAATGAGTGGTCTATAATTCATACTGCGACACTTTTGATGGCGCCAACCATAGCTCCGTCATTAGATCGATTTACTAAACAAACTGTGCGCAGGGTGGGGATGTGTTAAACAGTAACCCGGGCCATAAAAGCTAAAGCAAAAAAAAAAAAAGGCTCTGCATGCAGGTGAAGGTGTGCTGAGACCGAGAGAGACAACATTGGGGAAGGGAGGTCTCAACAGGGAAATGTTTCACAAGGAAACGGCAAGTTATGACTTTAGACAATCTTTCACTTCATATTCTGGAATTCCTTTTTAGTCATACCCAACTATTAAAAGACAACGCAGAGGTGTGGTTACGTGGTTAAATAATATTACAAATCTAACCAGGATCACATTAGAGACACAATGTTGAAAATATTCAAATCAAATGTTGGATTCCCTGATGAGTTCTTTAGTTGTCTTGTCTTGCAGTACCATCTCTGGTCAGAGGATGGCACTAAAGACCCATAATACAACAGTGTCCCGCAGCTACACATTTACTTTGTTTAATTGTTATGTAGAATCCTATATTTTCTTTGTAGAAGTCTAACTTACTAATTAGCACGAGTAATAAAAACAAAAATGTTTGAGATATAATGAAGTAACAACATTAACATCTGGTTTTGGCCATTTTAATTAGAAGGAATTTCTTTCTATTCTTCTTACTTTACCATAGATCAAGTTTACATATGTATAATGCTTCTCTTGGGCACTCAAAAAAGCCTCACATGGCATTATTCATTCACACAGTGGTGGTATACTACTGCAGACACAGCTGCCCTGAAGTAGACTGACAAAAGCAAGGCTACTAATCTGTGCCATCGGCCACTCTGATCACAGTCAGAATGATCACAATCATTCACACACACGCACGCGCACGCACACACACACACACACATACACACACACACTTTGTAATGTGGGTGAAGTGTCTTGTCAACAGTTTAGCACTTTACAATGGAAGATGCTCCACTGTGGTCTCCCATCACAGTACTAACGAGGTCCTGCCCTACTTAGCTTCTGGGATCACACTTAACATCACCAAATTAACACTACCAGTAATTATTCTTCCTGTAAGTCAACTAGAAATGCTGATATGATAGTGGTGTTTTGTGTATGCTGAATATCTGTGCTATCGGTTCATCAAGGCTTTTAAATGAATTTGATGTGTTGAAAAAAAAAAAGCAAGTATATTAATCAGACTTAATCATGTTTGAGCTTTTATTAACACAGCATTACTTGCAGAAGAACACATGTAGTCAGTGCATACAGTATTTGGTTCTATCTTATAATAAGTTATTGTGGATGACAGATCACAGACAAAGCAAACCAATCACAGTAAAGCTGAAGCTATGTGCCCTCCCACCACTAAAAACCAAGGTAAATATAAAAAATGTATCCTAAATGCTATATTGTTTAGAATAATTTTCAAATATTATAAACAACTACTAGCTCGGCCTTTCCCTGAAACAGCAGCCAAAGCACGTCCTACTGCCCAGGAAGGTCAGTGTGTCCAAACAGTTTAAAGTGGTCAGGCTCAGAAACACCTCATTGACGTCTTCTAGGCTCAGATGCTCGATGTAGTAAAGTCGAAAAATGTGATAGGGAACAAACGAAGCCACCATGATGAGAGCAAAAAACAGACTTTTGAGCTGTGCACTGAAATCCTGCTGCAGTGCACATTTCTCCCCGTTCCTTCTGTACAAAAGCAGGAGGGTATTTGCTTGTAGGATGGTGATCACAGCTGTTGTCGCGATTATAAGAGTACTGATAATATAGTTCACGACTTTGGCCGATGTGGATTTGAGGTTGTCTGCAAAGGTGAAGCATTGGCCTTTTGAGTTTTCTGCTGTCTTACCATAGATAAAAGTCACCACACACGGTACAGTGACGATCACCAGTATCCAGACCGCTGCGCTGATCAAGAGAGCATGCAGCCTCTGGACGGAAGTTATATTCTCGGATTGGTGGTAGAAACTCCACAATCGTGAGACCAAAATGATGACGTAGAAAATGAACGACATGTACATATGGACGTGAATGCCACTGCTGACCACTTTGCACCAAATTAAGCCCAGGATCCAGTCGTGGGTGGAGTAGTAGTAGATCCTGAAGGGAACGGTGAGGAGGAAGACGAAATGCGTTATCATGAGGTTGAAGACAGCGACGGAGGTGATGGAAGTGTTGGAAGATTTTAAGACGTGCACGGCCAAGCTGAAGCAGATCAAGCCACTGATGAAGACGAAGCTGTAGATGCCGATAAGAGCATAGTGCAGCTTTGTATCTGTGGAGTTGGGAGAGACGTCTGAGAACACTGTGACATTAACAGAGAGTGGATCCATCTTCACATGCACTAGAATGGATAAAGAAAAGAATACATTATCAAATAGGACATTTTTTTCAGATTTTTTATTCCACTTTTATGTCTTTTACGCAAACACATAACCAGTGTTGAGTTATAACTACACACATGGACTCTTGATATACGTGATTCAGAGTCCAGATACAAGTAGTGTTTTGAGAGCTTGTTGTTGAAGCCTGAAACAAAGAGAGGTCTATACTGGATCTGTGCACTTAAAGCTACATAGTCCCCAGGCCTGATGGGCTGAATTCGGCCAGGGTACCACTCTCGCTTCTCAGCAAGAAGGTCCTGGGTTCAAATCCCGGTTAGACCAGGGCCTTTCTGACTGGAGTTTGCAAGTTCTCTCCGTGTCTGTGCAGGTTACCTCCGGGTGCTCCCAATTCTCATACCACTTTAATCATGTACATTAGGTAAGATCCTCCATCTCCGGTCCTGACCAAGCTAAGCAAACCCATTTGGAAATGGGTCCGGGGGTGCTGTACTACAGTGACCACTGCTCCTGACAGAGGCCCTTGTAGCATATGGATCAAATGCAGAGAAAACATTTCCTTTCAGGGACAATAAAGTATAACTTAACTTAAATTATGTATAGTATTATTCTTTTAACCTATCTTTATTCTTATAACTTGAGACAAAGCAAATACCTAGATTGTCACTTCCTGCATTCAGTCCTCTATATGTTAATGCAAACATTCAGAATACTGTAACTAAACAGACTTCTTCCTATTCTTAAAGTTGTAAATGTGGAGTGTGCACAGAAATATCAAGTAGCTTTTTACAGTAATAACATGTTGTACTTCTGTGTCCTCCTTAATTTGGATGCAAGTAATAGAATGATCCACATCAATTAGTAGAAGAGTATATCCAAAACTGACTTACCTTTATTTTTATGTAGAAAAATATATGAATCCTTCAGTTGTCATTCGTCTACTATCAGATGTACGTTACCGGATTCAAAATATCAAACTTTGCGGCTGCATACGTGTGACCATCTGTAGTGAGACTCAAGCGTGTCTCTTGGGTTGCATTTGAACTGTGTGTGGTGTGTGTGTGCTCTGCTCGCGCATGTGTGTGTGTGTGTGCAATTGTCGGCAGTGCATAACAGGAGGTGATTTCAAACATAGATCTCTTCCTCATTCCACTCACTGCTAAATGCGGTAAAACGATATACAAGCAACATTGACTTGAATAAACCACAGAACAAAAAGGTCTATTTGTCAAGTTTATTATTTACAATTAGTCTGTAAAGTTGAAATGTAAAGTATAAAATGTATATATATTTTATATTTAGTGTGGTGTATTTTAGAATATAAAGTATTTGGTTATGTTTTCCCTTGCTTACTGTCATTACAGCTTTCCTTTAAACATTCTTATTCAGTAAATGTTTAAACTGTATCATGTGCAAGGTAATATGATTCACTCTGTGTAGTGCAGAATCATAAGTTCCGGGTTCATGTTAATATAAGCCGATAATCAAATTTTCTCACAGTGCATAACAATGACACATTCTCTGTTTTATTAATACTTTACTTAAATATCAGCTTCAGTAGAAACATTCCCTTTACCCCCGACATAAAATACAATGGTTTAAAAGAAAATTAGTAACATAACATCATGGGAAATGCATTTTTGAGGTCCTCCACAAAACTACTCTCCGAGAGGTCAGAATGTGCGTGACCACACTGAGCACCATGAGGAAGATGGTCATGGACATCACGATCACATAGTGGCTGATGCTGCAACAGTAAAGAACACTGTGAAATTACTCCAGAAAATGATATATACAGTGACTATAGAGCTGGGATTCCTTGCAACTGTCTTGAAGCCTAATGATTGGTTAATAATTATTATAAGGAGAATAGGTCAGATAACGCTGTACATGACTCAAACAAGCAAAATTATTATCAACATCATTGTGAAAGCTGGAGTATCTACAGTAACTAACTTCTGGTTTTGTAAAAAAAAGTTAGTATTTCAAAAAGAGTTGTTTAAATAACAGACAAAAACATGCTGACTTCAAGCAATATATATATATATATTTTAAATCTGCAAGATAACCCCAACATTTTTGAACAATAATTCCCAATTTTTTTTCTCTGGTCTTATTTGTCGAGCACATATCACCAGAATGATTGACGATTGCGAGGACCAATAGACTTGATGATCGACCCGGAAGTAGAAAATCCTCCTATATAACTTTAATTTTGGAGGACCCAGTCTGAAAAGCTTGGGGAAACATTTATCTAGACTAAGGTTTGCTCATAAATGCCATAAAACCTAAAACACATTCTCCGAGGCTGAACTTTCCATCTCTCTGTTCCAAAATCCACCAACCAAAAACTTTACCTACCACAGTTTTTTTGTATCAAATAATAATGAAATATACAAAATATTTCAACAATTCAAATCACCTTGTGCCGATGTCCAACCAACTGCCATAGTCTTGCACCAAGAAGAAGAAATGCTAAAAATAATAATAATAATAATAAAAACAAACAATAAAACCAACACAAGCAATTTACAAAAGCTTAAGTTCCAGACTAAAATGTGTTCGTCTTACCAATGCCATTATATCAGAAATAACAAGAACGATGAGGAACAAACTGAAATAGAACATTACACAGAATTATTTTTTCTAGTATTAGTATTAATATTAGTAGGAGCAGTAGTAGTATTAGTAGTAGTAGTAGTAGTAGAAATGATTGTAACATGAACATACAAAACATGTATATAACTATTCCTCCACAGATTCTGGTTTTACCTTCTAGAGGAAAGTTGTGTTGTCACTTGGATGGTTTCAAAAGTGCACATTACAATGATGAAGGGAATAATAACCTGAGAATAGATAATAATAAGCAAACAGAATACAAACATGGCAGTATTTATGATATTAAAGTACCTTCCACATCATGAGTCCACCCATGATGAAGGGGTTGAACACGGTGAGGAAGCAGTAAACAGATGCAGGATCAAAACTATTAAAGAAGACAAAATTATAGTGGTTTGAAATTTGCCACAAGGTCACAATAAAACTTCCTGTCAGTTTCCAGTCAGTGACCACAATATGAAAACCTAGAAAAAACACCTCACCTGTTTATGGAGGCTATGTTTCCTGTGCCAAAGAAGGCTGTGATGATAAAAAAGACCTTAAAACGAAATTAAGGGTATTTCAAATGTAAATTATGAATTGTATGTTAATGATTAATAAAATAAAATAAATAAAATAAATAAAATAAATAAAATAAATAAAATAAATAAAATAAATAAAATAAAATAACGTAATCATCTCGTTCCCTAATAATACTCTACAATGGAACATCCTCAAACAAATAATGGGTTGGCAGTACAAATATTGATGTTCAGGATACAAAAAAATAGGATCTGCGGATGTCATCCAACTTCAGGAGTCTAATTTTGGTGATGTCGATGTTGGAAGCAAAGTCTATAGTTGAGAGCTATTGAAAACAAAAAAAAGGAGAGAATCGTCAGAAACTAGTACAACTTTCGTATCTGCTTCTGTACCTGTAATGTATATTTTCATTGAGGGAGTACCTGCTGCCTGCCCGAGACGCCGTGTGCGAGCAGTGCCTCTTGTTCGATGTTGATCCACACAAACATGAGCCACGATAAGGCCGGTGGGAACAAGGCTTCAGACCTATTTTAATGTTAATGTTAAATGTTATCGAACCGCAAAGGGGTGAGTCAAAGTTAAACGAATACTTTACCCTGTGCTAAGAAGCAGATATGTGGCAGTGAGAGACAGCAGTATACTGAGGAGGCGATGGAAGAGACGTGTGGAGCTTGTAAGTGGAATCAATATAGAAGAACCTGAAGTAAAGAACAAAACAGTAAACAAGGTAAGGTCTGCAATGGCTTTACTAAATGAGATCTAACACGTTGGGAAAAGCATTAGTTTATTGTTTGGAGGCAGTACATTTGGCTCATTGATAAAAATAGAATACACTATACTTTATACTTGCTTCTTATAGATATTATATACTTCTTTATTATGCCACTCATTCCTACTCTTCTGTAACTGGGGATGCAACACTGAAAATTAAATAAAGTATCTCTTAGTCTTAACTAGGCTCGTAAACACACCTAAAGTGGTCCAACTGATGATCTGACTGAGCAGAGGTAATCCCTGTTTGTGCAGCAGACTGGAGTGTGTGAGGGAGGGAATGACAGCGCACACCGCCACATGGATCATCTGAAAAAAAGGAGCCATTTTGAATCCGGTTTAAATGTTTAAAATGGATACTCGTGAAATGAAATCATCTTTAGAAACCTGAATGAGTAGTAACTTTGTGTCACTGTGGTGCAGAGGTGTTTTGTGACGTGATGACCAAAGGAAGCAGGAAGAAGTGAAGAGAGCGAGCAGACCTGCACACATGCTATAAATACACAACGGCATTTGTTTTAATACAATGACAGTTTTCTGTAATAACCTTTAACTTTCAAAATGAACTCTAAGTCATAATAGACAAGCACTTACACTAAATTGAAATTTGGTTCCCTCCCCACCACGGGCAGCAAGGGGAAAACTGCTAGACACAGACAACTGAAGAACCAACTTATGGAGCGAACCTGAAACCATGGAACATGTATACATTCCAATTAATATTATTTAATTCATGGAGAACAAAATGAAAAAAATGTTTATTTTGTTGTAGGCACATTTGTATATTTTAACATAGCTTCGGGGTTAATATTAAACATTTCATAATCATAAACCACTAACTTCCTGGTGAAAATTCTAAGATGAAAATCATTACCTTAGCTTTTCCAGAGAGTCCAGAGATGAAGGGCCACAGTGAGAGAGCAGCCAGGCCCACAGACAACATGGCACGATGGAAGAAGCTCACCACCTGGTGGAAGCAAAGCAACATTGGACTAAACATCCTATTGCAACTATGGATAGTCCATATTATAACTATGGACATTAAAGTCGAATAAAGTGTGTTCTTACCAGTAACTCAATTCCAAAAGCAACTAGTACAAAATAGCAAAAGCATTTCCACAGAGGCAACGATGGAGCAGAATGAACCAGATTTACCAGGATTCCAAGCCTAAAAAAGATGAGGCTTTAATTTATGTTTTCATGTGCAACTTGAATAGCAATAAATGCAAATGAAAGAAACTGATCAATCTCTTTGAAGCGGCACCACTCATACAAAGATAATTATGTCTGAGGTAAATTGCATCCTGTGAAATTGTAGGAGCCAGGTCAATGGTCTGCAGTCATCTGGGATGATAGATATTTTCTGTGATTTGTTTAACATACTGTATGATCCACAACCGTACAATAAACTTGAGGTTTCCCTCATTTTGATAATATTTTGGTATACTTACTCCTTTATCACAGAGTACCATACAGGGACTGGAAGGAGGCAGTAAATATAATAGGTGAGTGGACTCCTTTGAATGAAGAGAAATATGGCAATCAATACTGCCACAATAACACAAAGCCTTGAAAGATGCATGCTGGGTACCTGAAAACAAAATATAACATTATACAAAATTGAAAGAAAGACATTTTCTAACATATGGACATGTAAACGTACAGGTTTGTGGTTGTGATTTCTGTCAAGGCTCGCATGAGTTTTAAGAATGACAAGGACAACATAGGAAGTCCAGCCAACGAACCCAAGAACCACACTGCAGCCCAGGAAGAACCTGTCGTAGGTGTGGTAGTAAACAAGGCCTTTCAGGGAGTGGGAGATAAGAGACTGGCAGAGGGATATCTGCGGAAAAGGAAACATTATTATTATTATTATTTCCGGATATAATACTTTATCAAGGAGATTAGCAACACTTACAGCATCTTCATATTTCTCCAGCTTAAACATTATTCTGATTTGGTAAACTAGTTCTGCTTGTTCAGACTCAGTTAAATATCTAAATGAAACATAGAAAATAGTTAGCAAAGACAAACCATTAATATAATAACTATATTGCCAATACAAGAATATATCATTGAACTTACTGATATGGGGTAAACAAAAAGGATAATGTAGTCTCCTTTTTCTGGCTCATTTTCACCTGCCAAGAGGAATTACAGCGATAAAAATACAATAGCACTTTGTTACCAGTACTTGGGATATTTGTGTTACCTTGTACTGTTCGAGCACTTGGATAGCGTTCGTGTACATGCTTTCTGCTTTGAACTGTTGGCTGTTGTTTAGGTATTGTAGAGGTAGCACACCCTAAAGAAAGAAAGGCATCTTTAGTAATGTATAATAATGTTTATGTTTTTTTGATTATATTTGTTTGCTTACAACAGAATTGACGGGAAAATTAACACCAATCAGAGATGCCATAAGTGGAGCAATGTCAGCCTAGAAAACAAGGAGGTTTTTTTTGTTTTTTTTTATCATTTTAGGACACAGAACAGTTTATGAATGCCTAATCAATGTTTTATAACAGCTCAGTAAAATGACCACAAATGACCTGTAATGTTAATAATACAACAGCATAATCTTTCAAATACACTTTGGATGGCTTTAAAATCATTTCACAATTTGGGCAAAACGTGAATCTTATTTTTAGGCAGATTTCAGCGCACATTTGAGGACTTACAAAAAGGTCGTCGGAATGTTGTTATTGGAAAAAATAAATCAAAATATTTATAAATATATTGTTTTATGTGATGATTTGTGCCTTGTGTGATGTGGACTGTGAAGCGCTTTGTGTTGCCCTGTGTAGGAAATGTGCTGATTGATTGATTGATTCAAATTAGTTTTTGTAAATGTCTCTCACCTCGTATTTCAATAATACAGTATTATTTGTTACATTCCTCACCTGGTTGACATCAACTCTACGAACATGCTCCAAACTCCAGTCTGCAACAAATGTAAACGACTACATTATAACACAAATCTTTAGTTTAAATATATTACATACTAGAAATTTACCTTTTAAATATACATCGCTAAACACTTGTGGTTGTTCAGTAACAGGGACTGGGCCACTAACTCCAGCGCCCCAAACCACCAGAGGGGTCAGGGTCTCGGAGGGGTGACCTGCTCCGTGGGATCCTATGAAAAACAACCAAAAGATTATTGCAACTGGAAACAAAACTACAATAATTATTATCCAAAAGGCTATGCGTTTACCCCAGTTTGTCATGCCGTGATCAGAGGTGAAGACATAGGCTGTTTTTCCATCGTGCCCAAAGAAATCTTCAACCATCGACACTAACTCAGCTACACCAGCGTCTACTAAACCTATGTTGTTCAAGTACTCTCTATAAAAATAAAAAAAATCAAGAAAATCCTTTGAAAAGCGAGTTTTTCCTTGCTTGTCTTGTGAGGTCTAACAGAAAGGACAGCGGTGATGATCCAGGACACTCAACATTCAACAACATTTATGGACATTTATCAACATTTATGGACATTTATCAACATTTATGGACATTGGTCATATGCCCCTTATGGACAAATACCAATATATTTTCTATTCTCTTTCTTGTGTTTGAACTGGTTGGCTCTCTGATCTGTGTTCAACGGTTTTGTAAAGTCCTTCGAGATAACTACTGTTGTGATTTTAGGCTATACAAGAAGACATAGTGACAAATGTGAACGTGACTTACTGTGACATGGGCCTGTGCGCGTGTCCATTCGTATCAAGGCCCAGCAGATGAAGAAAGAAGACGTTTTTATCCTCATGCAAAGTAGAATTTAGACTGGAGTTATAATTGGCAGATTCAAACATTGACTGTGGAAAAAAGAATAAAAATGAGAAATTAAATCCTGTTTTTTTCTTTCACTTTAAATCTGTACGTATTATGTTCTACAATAAATATGTGCGCTTTACGGAAACTGTGAACATACTTTGACTTGAGCGAACACCCAGCTGTCCAACCTGGATGCATCTGTAGACGCAAAGTCCTCCTCCATGGCTGGATATGTGTGGGTATAAACGTGATTTCCTGTGGCACCTGATATGTTGTTGTTGTTAATTTAAAGCAAATCTCAGCTTCATCTAAACACATTCATACTCTGCACCTTTGGCAAACATTGGCAGGATGTCAGGACTGCCCCAACTCCAGGTTTGTCTGCTCTCATTAAACACAGAGTCGAATTCCACTGGGTTTTCCTTCCAACCTGAACACATACAAACATAAACTTGAATTATGAGTATTTTAAGAAATGGATCAATAATTCTTTGCGCAAACCTTTGGCGACTGCACTAACATCTTCATAGAAACCAGCAATAAGGGCTACGTGACCAGGCCGAGACTCAGTGGGGACTCGCGTATGTGAAACACCCCATGTGCCTGTATTCTCCATGATATTTCTAAAAGATGTAACATATAATTAACACAATAATTACTGACAACATGAGATCAGTTAATCCACAAGGTCAGCTTCACAACCTGAGATAAGGCGCTCGAGATGAACCATTTGGGAGCAGAGTAAAGAGACTATCTGCCCTAAGTCCGTCAGCCACCATCAGAACCAGTCTAGACGCAGGTGGTTTCAGTAAAGTCGCCTGGGGGGTCATGCCATGGACCAAGGGGGATGTGAAGTAGATGTCAAAAATGGACAAAAAGAATACAACGTGGACTGCGAGGCCAACCAGGAAAAAGATGATCACCTTCATTGTTAACCTTAAAAATATACAAAATAGAAAAACAAATTAATTAATCAGAAATAAAGTTGGGGTACATCATTTTCAAACTAAAAACATTTGAACTATGTAATAAGATTAATAAACTACTAAACTAACTAGTTCCCCATTAGCTTTTTCAGACAGAGAAGCTTGAGCATAACGCACAGGGCTTTTTTTCAATTTTATGCAAAGGCTTTTTTTAAGTATCCAAAATATAACATGAAAACAGGATTTTGCGGTCTAATTTGCAAACCGTGTCGGCTGGGACAAACAGCATGTAATATTTATGTATAAAAACAACTTGAATGTGGTGAACCAAATAAAACAAGTAAATATGAAAACAAAGAACAAGCATATAGAATATAGCAGCAGACTAAGCTACAACTGTGTAACAATAACAGTGTAATAAGTAAAGAAGGATAAGGTAACAGCAGAGTAGAGAGCTATTAGTCTCACCTGTAATAGTAGATGAGTCTCTATACAGGCAGTCAAGAATATTGTGGATTTGAATGAATGGAAAGCAAACCCATTTTTCCAGCATTCATTAAATTTGTATATTTGAAAACTTTACTTATAACTTCTAATTATAAAATATACATCTCGAAAGCAGACAGGTCAAAGGCGTCTTAGCGTGCTTCACAGTGCCAGATTTAAGAAGCTTAAACAAGAAGGACTGGTGCCATGGGCATCCACTTCCTTGTTGTGCTTTGGCTCTCGAAACCCAAAGGCATTGTGGGAGTTGTAGTTATCGTTAATTTACATTCACTAAAATTGGCTTTTACATAGTAGATCTTAACTAAAAAAAATATCTCTCTACTGATCAGATATCAGGTTGATCGGAAAATGGACATTTTAACGTAAATACGGTCTCATGTGATGGATGGAATCCTGTTTTTTCCGTTGCCAAATATGCCATCCTAGTTTCGTTGTAGTTGTCAGATCTATCCAATCAAATGACAGCAAACTGTGGCGTGGACCCGCCCCCTGTCAGCGCTACCAACCAGGGTCGAGCTCCTGTCTATTCAGGAAGACATCCGTGTGAATAGCATAGCCTGTGTTGCTAAATCCATTACAGTGGAAAAATGGCGTCCGTAAACCCATTTAATCAAAGTGATTCTGATGAAGAAGCTGAAAGGCGACCCAGTGAGACAATTGACACAGAAAGGAGTCCAAGCAATGGAGCCCCAGGTCCGCCACCGGGAAATCCTTTCGCTCCTCCCGCGGACAGTGAGCCCCCTGCGCCGCTGCTGGTGCTGTCAAACAGTCGGACCAGCCCCAGCGGAGGTGAGGGCATCTCCGTGGCTTCCTCCACTATGGCAGACGCTCGGATATCAGTGGATCTCATCGCTGCTCAGCTTTTACGGGATCAATACATCCTCACAGCCCTGGAGTTGCACACGGAACTGTTGGAAGCGGGTAGAGAGCTTCCGAGGCTAAGAGATTATTTCTCCAATCCTGGAAACTTCGAGCGCCAAAGCGGCACCCCTCCATCCAAAGACCAAGCTCTGGGACCCGGGGGACCTCTGAGTAAGTATGGGGGCCTGTCTGTCTTCTGTGTGGCAACTGTCTGGTATGCTGGTAGTGATGACCACTAGCACTCCAGGCTGGGGAAGAATTGATCTGGATCATGCTGCACCTGGCCTCCTCCTGATCCGAGGCCTGGAGCCACTCAACAGGCGGCTGTGTGGGTCAGGTGTCACAGCCCAGTGTCCACTTTGTCCTGTTCAATCTAAGGAACATAATAGACTTTAGTAACCTACTTTAAATAATGTATCCCTCTGCTGTGCTCAGATGGGTTTTTATGTGATGGGAACAAGTGTCCTGAATAAGGATGATGGTTTTACGACCAAAATAATGCTTGACCGACTAAAGGCATTCCAGAGTTTATCATTTAGTCGACTAAAAGGGGGCGTGACAAAGTCTCTCACAACCACTAGTCTATCTGAACATACAGGATTTCAATTGCTACACTCTGTACAAATGTTTACGGTATTACCTTTTAAATACTTCAATAATAAGTGCCTTCACTTCCTTACCCAGACCTGAGTACAAGATATTTGTTACATTTATTAGATTTGTGGTGCATTTGCAGGACAGACAAATAATTAAAACCAAAATTTGATCTCAAATTATCAAATAAGAAATTATCCAATTGTATCGATGGGATAAAGTATTCATTGTATAGGACATGGTGTTCTTTTTACAGATAATCACTAGCTTTAGAAGTCCTCGAGTTGTATCTTCTGTTTATCACACAAGATGTGTGTATCTTGGAAGATCTTAGTTGAGGCAAAATGTCATCATTAGCGACATAAAACAAGTGTTTTTTTTCCCTTTTACTGATGTTTTTACTATTGTATTAAACATCTTATCTACATGTTATCTGTAATGTGGAATATCCTTTGATAATACTTTTGCACCTCAACATTATTTTCTACTTTGTTTTTGTGCACACCACTGCTTACTGGGTGTCTCTACAGATATTAGAAAGTCCTGAGCATGAGCCCTGGCAACCTGCCTGGGGCCGGTACTAGCATTTAGCAGATGGCAGCAAGTCACAGTCAATGAATCAATTGTCTTGCCAAATTACAGTCCAAGCAATAAAGAACACCCCGTTTAGAGTATAATACTTTAAGACCTTTAAGGTCTATAGCATACAGTCCCACAGTAATATATCATTTACATGTGAAGTGATTACCACCTACATGTTCTGAAAGTTAATTTTCTCATACACATTAAGAAAAAAATCATGTTAGTTTTGAGATAATGGAAGCTTGTTTGGTGCTGATCAGCTAGTTGGGGACTATTGACTTACAAAGGTATACATTTTACGTTGTAATTGTGCTTTTTGGGCTGAATATATCTGAGCTCTGGGTAATAGTTGCCACATAGCTAGTTAGGCTCTGTCATGTCTTCAAACTCCTTATTTTTTCTCAACTCAAACTCATCAACTTATTTCTAGAACCAGAGCTGACTGCCACTTTGCAGCTACATACTGCTATTACAAGCCATATCTACAAATATACCATACACTAGCACCAATCGACCATATACCCAGCTCATGTGATCAACAGTTTTAGCATGAAAAAGTCATTCGTTGTGCATGTACTGCATTTTGTAGAGTAAATACACTTTACAATTATTCTTAACTTATTCTCAATACTATTTGTAATTTCATACTTTACATAGTTGTTCAGTGACCCCTCCCACCGTCACCCTTTAGGATCACAACACAAACGGATGACGGCCCTGCCCTCGGCCTCCTCGCTCTGGTCATGTGAGTGTGTCAGGGCCGTTGTAGTGTGATAAGATTTTAGCGTCCAAACTGAAGTAGTCAACAATCACCAGAGACCATTATGACATTATCCTAATATTCAAAGTATTCCAAGATATCATTTGTGGTCCATTGATCTAAACTGATTGTGAAACGTGACGATGGGTTTGTCACGCTCCAGCGGTGTTCTGCGGAAAGGTCAATCGTCTCACACACGCTTCAAGCTGCAGCCTTGTTTTTGACCTGAATTCACGTGTTTTTTCATTCTCTTACATATTAGAAGTTCAACAATGAATAATAATAATAAAAATTTTACTTAAATGATTGGTTATGCTGCCGACAAAAGGTGACTGTTTCATAGTAAACACATCCTGCTATAATTGAATGGAACTGGTTTGTCTGAATTTGCTGAAAAGTTAACTGATTATGAACTTTATCTTCAATGACCTCGACCTTATCAAGATATCAGAAAGTAAACAGGCCGACGTTTCGCTTGTTTTGCACCTGGGGAAATCTAACACCACTGGCTTAGTTTTCAAGGTAGCTGAGCACGGTGAAATTGGAGAATTAGTAGTATCAGATTGACAGATTGAGTATTCCTTGTGTCCTTTTTGTTTTAATAGGCATCTTTTATTTGTGACTGTTTGTGTTTAAGAAGCCACATCCAGTCAGTATAATAAGCCATAGAAAGTACCGGTATGTATGTTTTATGATTATCGGCAATGTTGTTTGGGTTCTTTACTAACTTTACTCAACAATATATACTATATGCACTTCCTACAATCAAATAGAGAATGGTATAGTTCTGCTTGGGTGTAGGTTAATCTCATCAAACATGGCTTTTTTCCAGTGTAAACAAACTTTGACTATTTTCCTGTGTGGTTTTGTACTGTAAATGGCCAATAAACTGAATCTGGCTGAATCTTTGAATGCATTTTGTGTTCACGCAGATCGAGCGGGCAGCATCAGCACCTTGGACTCTTTGGACTTTGCCCGTTACTCTGACGACGGTAACAGGGAGTCGGATGAGAGGGTGGCAGGTAAGATGAGCCAATCCACCGCAGCTGGAGATAAGTGCACGGTCCCTAACGGTTCAATATAATAGGTTAAAGCTCTATAGGTTAATGCATTGTTTTGCATCAGCCACATTTGTCTAATATTCCAGCGTATACAACCATCTATGAAAATTGAACGTTCTGGGGGTGTCCGTGCCTCAGTGATATTGTTGAGTCCTATTTTAATTAATTGTATTTTTGCTGTAGCACTTCCATGTTTTGGTCCTGACCTACCAGCTCAGTGCTAACTCATTAACAATACAGTCTGGCACTTTCACATGTGTCTGTGTGTGAGTTACTGTATCACACTGCTCACTTAAAGCAAAATTGTACATAACCTGGTGTTTTCATCTTGTATTTTATGAATGGCATGTCATTTACATTTGTGCTCGTGTATTTTTAAATTTAGTCCACTATTGACTCCACAACTTTAAAACAATTTACAGAGGGATATCTTACTGTATATATGTAAACATTACCAGGAGCTTTCAGTAAGTAATCTAAAGTCATGCAGCAGAGGTCGTGGTATGAAAACACTGCTATATTCGTCCCGTTATCTAATTGGCAGCCGCAGCCCTCGCCACAGCACTGTCACACCTACCTGAATTATTCCTTTGACAAAAAAAATATCTGCCCCCAGCTGTCTGACTCTGGGTTTTCTGGGCTTTCTCCTGACGTTGATCAAACCCCAGTGAACACAACTGGACAAGTCACTCCATCAAAACAGCTTCTTTGTTTCTTTATTTCTGCCCCCTCTTTTCCAGTCTTTCTTTTTTTTGTTCTTATCATGTTCTTGCATTGTGCACATGCTTAATCTGTCAAAACTCAGAGGGAAAAGCATAGAAACATACTGTATAGCTGCCCTGCATAGAGCATAGATCCGTGCTGAAACACAGAGTGGGGAGGCTCAGCTCAAATGACAGATTGATAACGCACAACAATGCAACAACATTGTCCTGCTCCATCGCGCCTTACCTTTGTGTGCATTGTAATCAAAATGTCTGAGATTTTGTGTGTTCTTTTGTAAATATGTGGTCATTATCCATAAATACATGCTTGACAAAGTGTATAATCGACAGATAATGTAAATTGTACTCTAGTTGTGTCTCAGAGCTTCATTTAGCCACTATTCTTGGGCGGCTTTGCACAAAAATATTTACCTGATAGTATTTTTAGTGCGAAATCCTTTGTCAGACAGCTCCTAGATTATGCAGCCGGCTTTCTGTCAAGACTTTTTGGCTGTGCCTTAGTTTGCTCAAAGGGAACCAGTAAGATCACCCCTCGCTCCAGTTTTTCCAGTCCCATCAGTAATGCTCTTGAGAGACAGAAGAGGGCAGGAAATCCTCCCCGAAACATCAGCTTCACCATGAGCCTCTGCTGCATGCGTTCTGCTCCATGATTTGCATGTGTTTCTCTTTTTGTTGTTTGTGTTTTTTGAATCTTGAAATCTTTTGTGTGATTTAGTTTTGTTTGTTTTTCATGGCCATTTTTGTTTTATTTGTTTCTTCCCTGTCCTTGGTTGGATGCATTTCCTGTGTGCGTATGTGTGTGATGTCACTTCCTGTCCAGTGCTGGAGTTTGAGCTACGGAAAGCAAAGGAGACCATTCAGGCTCTGCGCGCCAACTTGACTCAGGCAGCAGGTGTGGCGTTCTTTTGACTTTTTCCTCCATGTGAACCCTCATTTGTTACAGCTTTCTCAGTCTATTTCTAACTGTAACTAACTGCTGAAATATGCTTTGAAAATCTCATCCTCAAATCTGATTTTATCTTCTCAGAAAGTGAAGTGCCCTCTCAAGAGAGGAAAAACTTCAAGTCGAATCCTGAAAGTCAGGTGGGAGAACTTTGGTTCATTTTAATTCTTCAGTACATTTTATATGAATATCCAGTGAGAATACTTCTGCTTCTAAAAATCTTAACACAAGTTTTATTCTTTTTACTTCAGGAAGCTATACGCCCACTGGAGAAAAGAGCACTAAACTTCCTTGTTAATGAATATTTATTAAAAAATGAATACAAACTCTCAGCCATCACTTTTTCGGATGAGAATGATGATCAGGTAATTGGCACAATTCTTTCATCCAAACCACTTGGACAATGCTTAGTCTACATTTCTATCATGACACGTGATATTGTGTCTTTAGGACTTTGAGTTGTGGGACGATGTCGGCCTTAATACCCCAAAGCCCCCTGACCTGCAACAGCTGTACAGAAACTGTGGCGCCGCTTCGCCTCTTTCCCGGGACACCGTGGATGTAGCGGTCGAGGTGGACTTTGGTGATCTCCCTGGGAACTGCATCGCCCAGGAGACGCCCAAGAAGCCTGACCTTTCACAACAGGTAGACATTTACACATTTTCAGCTTAAAAAAAAAAAAAAGATTATTAGAAATAGGTTGTGTTCTTGAATTCTACTTAAGTTGGAGGGCAGATGTCCATACAATTCTATGGGACTTTTGAAAAAGAAAAGATTTTCAACTGCCCTCCACCACAATATTCAACTTTAGAACACAATTATATTACTTAAAGGATTATCATATTGCTTATGTTGTCACATGGACACAACCTGTTGCACAACCTCTTCCTGGGAATTGCAAAACTGATAGATTTACTGATAATTGGATTTTCTTAATATAATGATTATTTCTTTGACTTTCTAGCAACAGGCTGAAGTGGTTCAAGAGTTGGAGTATCAGATCAGCCTCCTCAACAACGAAAAAGAAAGTTTATCTGAACAAATCAAGAAGCTGCAAAGGTTTGATCTTATAAAACTATTCTATCGCACATACCAACGTAATCGGTTCTTTGATCGTCTGCTGCTGTTGCCACCGCCCCAAGAAAGTTTCTTACTATGCTCCAAAGTAACAACATGTATTTGAAACATTCCACATTAACTTCATGCTTCATGGCACCAGATTAGAACATGACCATGCCTGTTGGACCAAGTATTGACATTTGACACAAGAATTGCTTGAAAAAATAATACTAATGATAATAATAATAATAATAAATAATAATAATGCATTGGTTTTCTATATCGCTTTTGTGGACACTCACAGACGCTTCACATGTCGTTATTCATTCACTCCATACACAGTGGTGATAAACTACTACTGTACCACAGCTGCCCTGGGGCACTCTGACTCCTTCTAGGCAATGAGAGTGTAGTGTTTTGCTTAAGAACACAATGGAGACTTTACGCTGCAGCCAGGTGCACTGTGGCACCTGCTGCACATAGGTCACCCTTCACAGAACTAACCAGGCCCTGCCCTGCTTAACTCCATAGGTCTGACAGGATCTGGCTTTCATATTGAAATGTTCTAGTCTTTTCAGTCGTGTGGATGTCATGTCACTATTCATGATCTTCCATTTCTGTTAGTACCTATTCTTGTCTAGGTTCTTGTTGCTTTCCTTCAGTTCATATAGTTGTCCCGCTCTCATTTGTTACGTAGTGAAATCCAGTCTTTAAAGCGGACAGTTTCGGCGCCTCCTTCAACTGAAAGACTGTCTTTAGACCTGGGCTCAGAAAACACAGCAGCCCCTTCGTCCCCCAACACTTCCTCTGACCCAATGGTATGTGCAACACTCACAACACTGCAACATGTTTGAATATGTTGCGGGACTAAATTGTCTTTCTTCAGCCCCCATCAGATAACGGCCAGTATCTGGACATCCGCGGCGTTTCAGCACCGGAAAATGACTCCAAGCCTCCCCTCACACAGAACACATCGCAAACACACAATGAAATACACAACAGACTTAATAAGAGGCCGCCAGTTCAGTTCGACCAGCCTAACAGGTGAGTGAATTCAATTGTTACGTGTTTGAATGACTAGTGATCATACTAAACACATTCTGTCTGTGTCTGTATTTTAGCCTTTTTAAAATGCAGTAAAAAAATGCAATGGTTGTGAATGATTGGACTGGTGCAGCATATCTTTCTATTGCTCCAGTACTTGCTCCAGTACTCCACAAGATGGCGTCAGTTGTCAGTAAATGTCAAACAAGTTGCATTCATGGCCGCATTGACTTCCATGAATTACAAGTCTGCTCCCTCGGGTCTGCTCCCTCGGGACGCAGCAGTCATGGGATATAAACTTTTGACTTTGGGGTCTTATAAAAGCTTTTCTAAACAGTGTCCGTCCAGACTGTGTGTGTGTGTGTGTGTGTGTGTGTGTGTGTGTGTGTGTGTGTGTGTGTGTGTGTGTGTTGCCAGCACACTTCCAGCTCATAAATCATTTGATCAATGGAGACAGTGTATGGTTTATTTACCACAGTTAGTACTTTGAATATTTTAGCCTTGGACTCAAATGTTGAAATATTACCAGCTGTCATCATGTGATATCTAACAAGTATGGCCTCTGTCTCGACTTTGTTTATCCAAACAGTGACCAAAAAACAAAAAAACATTGGTGGGATTTGTGAAGGGTTTGAAACCTGTGTTGGCTTAAACTTCAGTCAATGTTTTTAATTCATGAGGACAAATTTATTTTAATTTTTTGACACAGAAAGTTAACGCCAGCCTTCCAGCAAGCCCTCCTCTCCTTCTGTCGAATGTGCTCAGATAGCCGGCTTGGAGCTGAGGTTAGTAACTAGTTTTCTTTATTCCCTTTATGGTAATTATCTCTGCAATCATCACTTTGCATATTGCAGGTGTCTCGCATTGCTGACAGCGAACAGAGTGTCATGTTGATGCTCGGCCGTTGTCTCCCACACATTGTCCCCAATGTACTTCTTGCTAAACGAGAGGTAAAATGTATTCTAATGTTTTTTTTTAACTTTAGTCACAATCACATGCATCTTGTTTAGTAGATCCTCACATAACAGCAGTGCTAAACGGGGCAGCTAAAATCTACTCTCCACAAAGTCTTTTATCTAAGCCCAGAATGTTTCTTTATAAACTCAGCCAAGAAAACACATTGGAACAAATTTTAATATGTTCATGACTCATTCATTTACCATCTGCAAATGAAAAGGACCATGTATATGTTTGTTTAATTTTTTTTATGGCAGTCCTAAATTCTAACAGATTGTGATGTGTGGCTGCACATCCCATGTCCCAATTTAGAACCATTTGAAATATTTGCATTATTTCAGTTAAAACCATAAACTGGGCTGTATTTTATTAAAACCCCAAACATAAGCTGTTTTGTGCCAATCTATCTATGGCCAAATCCATTTCTCTTTTGATGCCACTTGTTTGCACTGGTCTTGTCCATTTGCCGGCCTCATGCCTGTTTAGTTTTGACGCTTCTCACTCATTCTCTCACCCTCATGCATGCCTCTCTTCTAGAGAATGGTTGCACATCTTTGCCAGGTGAGTCGTTCACTCATCTGCATGTTTCTAATGTGATCAAAGCCAAAACTACAGCTAACGCCCTGCCACCATTCATACGACTTGAATTACTGAAGAAACGTGACGCAAAACGATTTGTAAGAGTCCCAGTGGAGACAGTTACAGCCCGAGGCTACTCACGACTGCCAAGGATTTATTTCTGCTTCCTGGTGGATTAATCATCATGACAATTACTATAATAACGGCTTTTGTATTAATTGACATATAGCTAATATATACTAACTGTCCCCTGATTGTAAGATTTTTGCACAGATACTATACATTTTATGCAACAAACATAATAATAAATAATGTCTAATATTTCCAAGGGGATATTTAATGTGCAAGGAAAACAAAATGAGGAGTTTGACAGCACTGTTTGGGCAGTTCACGCTAGATCTATTCCCGCCCTGTGGAAGTGAAGCCTTTGGATTTGGTCTTATTTGTCTACAATAGACTTTGTACTTTGCCGTTATGTTCATTAGGCAGTTTTTAACCACCACTGGACACTCCTTCACTCGTTTAAACATGACACACAAGAACAAAAGCTGTAGTGAAGCTGAAGTGAAAGACCGGAATGAAGCTTCGGCTCTGCATGCCACCTGGACGCTTATCACTCACAGCAGGCCCCACCGTAAATCATCCATTGTTTTCGAGTTTTTCATTGTGTAGTAATGTCCTACACATTTATTCTCTGCGGGTGGAAATCATATTTATTTGTCTTATCTTTACCTTATTGAACAACACATGTACAGTCACGTATCAGTAAATACATAAAGGGACTCAAACCTAGAAACTTCTCCTCATATAGTGTTCTAGTGTCTTTCATTCCACTTTGACATTTTTTTTATTTCTTTACTCAAGCCCATTCTGAGGTAAAAATAGTATTGGCAGTGAATGCATACTGGTTCAGGGTTTTAATCTGAAGTTCTAATACTTATAAAAACATAAAGACTTTCATTGAACTTGACAGCTAAATTGAGGTATGAGTTATTTTACCTACATTATTAAGCAGGACATATAATCACTCTTGAAATATGCCAGGATATCAACCTGTCACTTTTGTCCTCGTGAATGGAAGGCCAACATGGCACTGACTGGTCCAGAGCGGTGACTCACGGTCTATCTTTGCCCCGGTCTCGCAGCCGTCCAGCCACTTCTGGGATTTTGCTCAGGCGCTTTGACACTTGGCAGGAAAATATGATACCTTTCTGGAAAACAGCGTTTGCTTGAAAAACACACACATTTTTAACTCTGTGTGCACTCTCTAATTTGGGTGTGTGTGTTGTGTGTGGACTATAAGCTCCCTGTCCTTTTGGATGGAGCCAATGTGAACTCTGCCTGAACTGGAGGATAGATGTGGACTTCAGGGGCACCGTGGCAGCAGGCGTAGGCTAGGCGAGCACGCGGGGCTGCACTCGAGCTGTAACACGACTTTCTGTATATAGTTACTAGTGTTGATCCCATGCACATACGTCACCTAAATAAGCCCATTGTTTTCTTTCCTATTTGTTTTTAATACCCCAGCCTGCTTGATTGTTGCAATTGTCCACCCTTTTTAAGTTTGTTCAAATTTTACTATATGTATTGCAGTCCTAACCCATTTTTCTCCTTCCTGACTTTTTCCTCTAGGAGTTAATTCCACTTATCTTGTGTACCGCATGCCTTCACCCTGAGCCTAAGGAGAGGGACCAGCTCCTTCACATTTTATTTAACTTAATCAAGAGACCAGATGATGAGCAGAGGTGCGCTTGTTGCTGTACAAAACAATGTATTTGCTCTGTATCTGTTTAATTCATATGTTTTGTTTGAATGTTTTTTTAGACAAATGATCTTAACTGGGTGTGTAGCATTTGCCAGACACGTGGGTCCCACACGAGTTGAGGCCGAACTACTTCCCCAATGTTGGGAACAGGTGAGACCCGGGCTGCAGGTGGTGCATTGTCCCAGTGCATGTGTCGTTACACATTAGTGGTCCTGGTAACACACAATGACATTTCCAATAACTCAGGCTGAAAACACGCCTTCATAATAGAGAGTGCTACAATTAAAACATACTTAACCTTTTGTGTATTAAAACAAACAAATAATAACACAATGTGTACCTATTTTTCATACTAAGTCAAAACTGTTACCTTAGTATGTTTTTTTATTTTTATCGTAGTCAATACTAAAGTCTTATTTTTAAAGCGGGGGTTCCTAACTTTTCAAGCCACAAAAGATTTAACTAAAAAGCAAAACATCTACATGTATTTCCTCACTCTCAAAACAGTTTGGTACACAACTTTTCATGTGTGTTATTCAGCTTCTGTTACATCTTTAGATCAGCTTTTTCAGACAGAAAAGTGAAATAAATGGGACCAACCTCAGTCAGCCAATCAGCTTTCAAATAATGACTCAGAGACTCCGATTTGTTCACAATATTTTACTTTTTATACAAACAATGGTATTATTTATAGGAGGTACAAATATATATTTTTTACTATTGTTATTCTTACATGTATTGTGTTCAATGAAACTTCCCACAGTATTATTATGTACATGTTATACATTCGGTTTTTGCTGTGATGGCAAGTTAGAGGCTGAGAATCTGCTTCCAAAGACAAATTGTGGCTTTCACAGGGCCAGAATGTTAATAATATTTTCATTGTTTCCATTCTTTTGTGGCTGCCTCTTTGTCTGTAGCCCTGTACATGTCCTCTTCCTCTTCAAAATATCCTCCCGTTTTTCCACAGATTAACCACAAATATCCCGAACGAAGATTGTTAGTGGCAGAAGCCTGTGGAGCCTTAGCACCGTACCTGCCTGTAAGATAATATACCCACAAAGTCATTTTACTGTTTCTAAATTACTTGTTCTGATATTGTATGCATTACTTACAGTATGCTCAGCCTGGGTCTCTGTGTAATAGGTTACTAGTGAACAAGACATAATATCAACAAACAAAAGAATTCCATTGAAAAGTAATGAGTCAGACCAAAAACAAAGCTCTATTATACTCAGGGCGACACGGTGGCTGAGTGGATAGCACTCTCGCCTCTCAGCAAGAAGGTCCTGGGTTCGAATCCCGGTCGGACCAGGGCCTTTCTGAGTGGAGTTTGCATGTTCTCCCCGTGTCTGCGTAGGTTTCCTCCGGGTACTCGGCATGTGCCTCCTGTACTGGCCCCGCTCCCATCTCTGTGTGGAGTGAGAGACAAATGCCCAAAATAAACAATTGTAAACCGCTTTGAGACTCAGATCTGCAGTGAAAAGGCGGTATATAAAGATTACTTACTACTACTTGCTTACTATTATAGACCATAAAATAACCATAAACCTAATAATAATAGCATTGGTGGACTCCATGTAATTGGGTTTATTCTTGTAATTCAATCAATTATTTTTGCAGAAGGAGATCCGGAGCTCTTTGGTGTTGTCCATGTTGCAGCAGATGCTTTCTGACGACAAGGCGGACATGGTCCGAGAAGCTGTAGTCAAGAGTTTGGCTATTCTTATGGGTTATATTGATGATGCTGATAAATACTCTCAGGTAATGCAGTACATGCAGCTTATACATGTATAATTACTGATGACATCACTACTAGTCTACTCACTTCGCTCAAACGTGTGTCCAGGGTTTTGAGCTGATGCTGCTGTCCCTTGGAGACCCATCAGAGCGAGTGGTCGGTGCAGTCCACCAGGTCTTCATCCCTGCCTTCGCCGCCTGGACCACTGAGCTGTGCTCTTTGCACACTACACTTATCCCCTCCCTAATGGCACGAATAGAGAAACTGCTTATGGTAAGAACAATAATATCTCAATGACAACCCAGTCAGCTATTTGTTTATGTTGTACATAAATCCAAATGGTTTTTGTCCTGTTTCCTTATCATAAATACACTTGCATTAGTTTATGACAAAACCTTTGGTCATCAAATAAGATCGTGCCTTGTTAGATTTTGATCCAAATCTAGGCAAATGTGATTTCACGTTTCTACCCCTAGATGGGACTGTTGCCTTCTGTAGTACTCCACTTGCATGTACATGTCTGTAATTAATTGATTGCATAACTAAGTAGTTTGCCTTTTTGTAAGAAATGTGCTATATAAATAAATATTCCTTTCTTCTATAAAGCAAGGTGAGCACGGTCTGGACGAGCACAAGCTTCACATGTACCTGTCCGCGCTACAGTCTCTCATCCCTCCTCTGTTCGCCGTGGTGCTACAGAACGCACCTTTCACCAGCAGAGTCAAACTCCATGGAGACATACCTGCCATCGAGGGTACGTCCTCTCGCACGCACGCCCCATATTATGTTGGTACAATGTCATGAATAGAATCTACATTTTTTCCTCAGTTACACGGTTTCCACGGCCCGCCTCCCCTCTCCAGGATGTAGCAACCATTATCGGCAGCAGGGAGATGTTAAGTGCCCTATTGATACTGTATGACCACCAGCTCGAACATGAAGGCACCACAGGCTGGGAGAGCCTTCTTTGGGTCGTCAATCAATTGTAGGACTTGACAAAAGCAAATCCTTGCATGCTTATATATATATATATATATATATATATATATATATATATTTCTTAATTTCTTAATTTCATGCTTGTGTTTTTGCAGCCTTCCTCAGCTAATAGAGATTGTAGGTCGTATTAATGTGACATCATCAACGTGTGTCCATGAGTTCTCTCGGTTTTTCTGGAGACTCTGTCGCACATTTGGCAAGATTTTTACCAACACTAAGGTGACATGTCGTGAAGAAATGTCTTATTTTAGTCTTATTTTAGTCTTTTGTTTACAAAGTATATTTTATAATAATGAACAACTCTTTGCAGGTCAAACCACAGTTCCAAGAGATCCTGAGATTATCAGAGGAAAATGTTGGTAAGACAAACGTCAAAATCCTGACTTGTCAATGCTGCGGCCGTTAATAGCCATCCTTCTCTTATATCTTCATTCCAAACATGTTTCTGGATTTATGGAAGCTGCTTTGTTTCCAATGCAAAGTGGTGTTGTGACCCTTTGCATTTGGTTCTGGATAATAATGCCTAATATGACATTTTTGTGGTCATGCCTGAGACAACCACACACTTAAATTATTTAGTTTATTGCATTATCAATGAATTATGTTCATTGTATTTAACATGCTTTGATTTGTTGTAGATACTTCGGCAGGAAATGACATTCTCACCAAAGCAACCGTCCCGATCTATGCCACAGGAGTGCTGACCTGTTATAACCAGGTATGTGTCTGGGCTGGATTTGGAATAGGGGTGGGAACCTAAGGGTACCTCACGATACGATACGATACAAAGCTCACGATAACGATAATATCACGATAACGATATCACTATAACGATTTTATCACAATATGACGATTATTGATATATTGGTCAGAAATATACAATATGCCAATTTATGGCATAAATAAAAGAAAAAATTCTCTTTATTTCATGATAAATAGAATAGAATTTTTTAATTTTTTTTTTTTTTTCAAAATCGATATTGATACTTGGCAAATGCATATCGATAATCGAATCGCGGGAGAAAGTATCACCACACCCCTAATTTGGAATATGAAGAAAATCAATATTAACAGAGTGACACATAAAGGATTGTGACCCGACATGCAAATGGTTAGAAAATACTGTCCTCACGTTTATGATTACCAAGCATTTAAATGATTAGATATACACATGGGAAAACAATTCCGTTCCATTTTAAAGACAGTAATATTTCTATTACATTTTGTCCTAGTAACTAATAATATATGAAAACATATTTTCCTAACACTGTTGATTTTACAGGAGGAAGACCGTAAGTTATTAGTAGGGTTCTTAGAAGACGTCATGACAACCCTGTCTCTGTCCCACGCTCCTTTGGACAGTTTAAAAGCGGCCTTTGTAGAGTTGGGGTGAGAAACTATATTAAACACAGTATTATGATTACGACCTTTGAAATCCTTCTCATATTTCTGCTGTTCATTTTATTTCAGTGCTAATCCAGTGTACCACGAGCTGCTGCTCACGGTGCTGTGGTATGGAGTGGTCCACACGTCAGCACTGGTGCGGTGCACAGCTGCTCGCATGTTCGAGGTACAAAACACACACAACACGGTTGTACTTTGAACTAAGGCATGTTTCTAAAGAGTGTGATCATTAATAAGATTCAGTAAAGTTTGGAATAATGATATTATTTGCTGTGTGCTAGCTTTGCTTGCTAATACCGTATTTTATATGTAAGGATAGTTTGTTTTGCAACTGTTCAGCTTGTCTGCCTCGTTGCACTTACTCTGCTGGTTCTGGTTCCAAACGCATGTCTGAGTGCATGGACATTTGAGCGTGTATTGATCTGAAATAGACCATAGATCAGACCTGAGCCTGTCCATTGGAAAAAATTACAAATAACAAATTATCAAGTTAATATTCCGCTTGTGTTTTTAAAGTTGTATATGAATGTGCATTAAACTTGTGCTTGAGACATTGGAACTAGGACCATGTGAACCTGAGCTCAGGGGAGGAGGAGTGGAACCATTTAATGTATTATTCATTTACCTCGATGTCCCCATTTCATTTTCTCCGTAGAGTCCTCCATCACATCCATCACAAATAACTGGGATGAGAAAGTTACTCAGAATTTAAAATGTATTTATTTAAATTTGCATGTTTTAGATGACGGCAATCACCTACATCTAATTGCCTTTTGTTTTACAGATGTCATTTTTGCATGAGAACATGTCATGTGTAGAAAATGAACACGTTAGACTTGTGCTGTCGTTCTGTGCCTGCTGCTCCAGTTTTGTGTTTACTACTTTCTTCCTTTTTTGTGTTTTTTTGTTTTCCTTTCTACTTTGCTTTTCTCTCTATATCTATTTGGCGGTGTTGCTCGCTCTTGTCCCAAATGCCCCGCCTCCTGTGTGGCATCACGGCTGGCTCTGTCCAATCCGATCAGCTGCTGGTGAAGGGGGTGAATGAGACGCTGGTAGCTCAGAGAGTGGTGCCGGCTCTCATCACACTGTCCTCCGATCCTGAAATGTAAGTGCAACTCCAAAAACAGCAGCAAACAAACAAACCGACCGCGCCGCGTCTCTCTCCCCCTTCTCTCTGCCGCCTGACACCTGCACCCGGCCACCGCTCTGTCCCCAGGAGCTGCTGCATCAGAAATACCAAATGGCAATTCAAAAGTATCCCAAATAATGTTTAACTATTCTGTTAAAGCTGAGAAGGCAAAGTTTCGAACCACCATCCATGTAATTATTTGCATTCAGAGCAGTTTGGCTCTGTCTTATCTTGAGATAAGCTTTTTCAGACAGAAAAATGAAAAATAATGACTCGCAGTATAAAAAAGATAAAATACAAGGAAGATGAGCATTTTCTGGTCTGATTTGGTCACAACTTTGTACTGACAAGACTCTTTCTGTTGGCACAAACTACGAGGATTAGTTATGAAAAAATACGTTGGGTATCCCAGCTTTAAAGGGGCAATATGCTACTTTCAATGTGAAAAAAGTGACCATGTGACCATGGTTGTATTAGTGGTCAGTATGGTGCCTTTTTTCCCATCACACTGCTCTGTAGGATGCTATACTGAAGGATCAATTGTTTGGAAGCTTTTCTCTGTTGATGGTCCCCTGCACCAGAAAACCTTTTGATCCTGCAACACTGTATACACAACCATGAAGAAAAAGGCATAATGCTGACCACTCATACAACCACTGGGTCATTACAAACTCAAATATTCAAAAATATCAACTTTTTTCACATTGAAAATTGCATAATGCTCTTTTTATACAATGCCAACAATGTTAAGACCGGATCATACCAAAATCTTGACAGAGACTGCATTGATAGAAAACAAACTATGCACTCTTTAAACGTACAAGTGTTATCCGCACCAGTTTTATAATATGTGAAATATTAATGTAGAGCTCCTGTAGGGTACGGGCTTGTGAAATGAGCGCGTCGGCAAAATCGTTGTCGACATAGACCGCCTCGCAAAAACCCCATGCTTGCTCTCATTTCACCGTGGACAGACTCCACATGAATCATTGTCATGTCTTGTAGCTTTATCTGTTGGACTGTTTGCATGTGTCACATCCCAGCATGCTCCTTTCTCTCCCTCCTCCTCCTCCAGCTCACTTTATTCAACTTCAAGTTCCTCCCACTGGCCGATCACAAGCCGGCGGTGATTCTTAACCCTGGCTTCCTTCAGATTCTTTCTTTATCCCTGTTCTTTCTGTGCCTGCTGTCTGTCCCGTGACTCCGGCCTCTGCCTGCCTAACCCCGCCCTCCTCTCATCCTGCTGTGTGGTGGGTTTGCAGTTGATTCTCCGAGGCATGAGTGAAGCGTTAGTAGATCGCCGAGCGGCTCCGGCCCTAATTACTCTGTGCAGTGGGCCTGAATTGTGAGTCATCTGACACAGCCAACTACCTCTGTAAACATGATCATTTTGTGGGCTACATTCCACAGAAAGCAAAGCATTTATTGGAATCGGTTAAAAAGGAGAAATCAATGACTTTGCCGTCTGTGAAAATACTTTGCAACATTATGTCTTCAATTGTTTCTGTTGAAATGCAGCCCTTGTTCTCACACCATTCTCTACTCGCTATGACCTTTTACTGTGTACACGGATGTCAAGTTAACAGGTATTAAAGCTGGGGTACCTAATTCTCAAACGTATTCAACAATTTACACACACAAAAATAAAAAAAATAAATCCATCTCAGAGTCCCTCGCATTTCCTCGTTTTCACCAGAATGTATCTAGATTTCATTTTTCTTTTTTTGACAGAAAATTGGAGAAGACCGCCCTCACTTTCAGCCCAAAATGTCAAATAGTAACTCAAAGGGCAAAGATCATATGTTTCCTAATCACATGAAGACTGCAGTAGTGGTCTGATTCACTAAATTATAGATTCACACAACTCTCTGTGTGTCTGAATTAAGGATTAAATAATGAATACATGAAATGAATAATTAATATAACGGTTTGTCTCAACAGAGAGTCCAAATGACACAAAAACAGACAACAGAAACACAGACAAAAATCACACCAACACAATATTTATAAAATTCTGTAAAGACGGTATCTCCAATGGCTTCAGAGTTCAAGTTCGGTAACCCAGCTTTAACCATTTAACTGGCAAAACCACCAAACTGGTTCATAAAGTTTTTAATGCTTTGGCTGGGTAAATAAAAAGCAAAGTGGAGCTGGGTGTGTAGCTTCATACCGGGGCAAGTGGACTTAGTTTGCGGCGAACTATCTTCCACTAAAATTTCCCTACATACATTATACATCTATTTCTAATCTCTCTCTCTCTAGGTTTAAGGGTCCCTCCTTTTGTCTATTGTTAATAAAATACATTTGACACACTCGGGCACATACAGACTCCATGTTTTTTTAGGAATCTTTCAAAGACCAGTAAGAGATCATCATAACAAATATTGGCATGTGATTAGAATCCATGCCAATATTTGTTATGATCATCACATCCAACTAAAAATGCCATGACGATGTTTATGGTTGGCTATATTTAGACTGGTCCTAAAAAGATAACGATCGGCACTAATAATAGATAGGAAAGCGCTTATGAACTGTAGGAAAGCGTTTTACATACACCACACAGTCAAGGCCGTCCGGAACTGTTGATGCATCGTTTGCCTATTTTCTTTTATTTTTTTTAGCTCTGTGAGGATATCCACTATTCCAGCATTTGGGACCATCATGGAAACTGTCACGCAAAAAGAGGTGAGCCTTAACCGCATCATATTTTACATATTTGACCTTTTTACATGGTTTAATTGTTTTTTTGTGTCAATGGCAGTTACTGGAGCGCGTCAAAATGCAGCTCGCGTCGTTCCTGGAGGACCCTCAGTATCAGGACCAGCACTCTCTGCACATGGAGATCGTCCGGACGTTCGGGAGAGTCGGCCCGAACGCAGAGCCCCGGTTTAGGGACGAATGTAAGTGCGACTGTGAGACTCCTGTTGCAGTTCTGGAAGAAATACAGTCATTTTGTTCGGGGAAAAAATACAAAAGCAGGAGCTAATGGTTAAGGTAGTCAGTTTAAAGTTTATGTAAAAGTTTGGAGGGACCACATAACCACATAAAAATGTACCTCAATTAAAAACAATAAATGAGACCAAACTTATGAGAAATTGGAATCTTCCCACATTACTGGAAACCAATAGGCTTTGCCAAGACGATACGTTTAACAAATAGAGAACAATAAAAGAAAAAAGAAAAGAAAAAAACAAGTGAGTCTTTGGTCTTGAATGAACTCAAGCATCAAATAACATTTTATGTCATTAGGCAGAGCATTCCATTTACAAGGAGCATTAGAAACAGATTCTCGCTTCGTTTAATGGGACCAAAGAAACATTCTCTCTGTTTGAGGTTCAAATTATATGAAACATATGTAAATGTATGAAGGTGCCAGACTGTAGATGGCTTTGTAAACAAGCTTACGAATTTTAGGTCCGGGCTTGAATTGGAGCCAATCAACATCTGACTTGGACAAGAACAATATCTCATATTATGTCTATACAGCATGCAGGCCGCAATTTTTTAAAATACAGAAATTTACAAATATAAATATGATTATAGAATTTTATGACAACATTAGGATTTTAACTTTTAGTAACAGGCTCTCTATATATTGAACAGGTAAAAAAGTGGGTCTGGGCAAAGAAAAAAACATATTTTGGCTTTTTTCTTTGGTCATCAGTCAACATGATCATAATTCAAATGAGAAGAAGCTCAAACCTATGAATCAATATGAATGATGACTATGCATTTTGATGAATTCAATCAATCAATCAATCTTTATTTATAGGGCGCTTTTCCTGCACAGGGCAACACAAAGCGCCTCACAGTCCACACCACACAATGCACAAATCATCACCATTAAAATACAATTAAAAACACATATGTAATTAAAAAGCATTAAAATCACATAAGTAATTTAAAAACATAAAAATCACACAAGTAATTAAAAACAATAAAATAGTTAAAAACACAAAAAGTTACAACAATAAATAACAAGGTGTGTTAAAAAGATAAAATTCTCTAGTTGTATGCACGGGAAAAAAGAAAAGTCTTTAACATGGATTTGAACATTGACAGAGAGGCAGCCAGTCTCACATCCTCAGGAAGACCGTTCCAGACTCCAGCTGCATAAATCTGAAAAGCAGCCTCCCCCTGTCTAGTCCTGACTCTGGGCACTAACAGGAGTCCCGTCCCTGCGCTCCTCAGAGTCCGGGCTGGTTCATATGAGACTAGCATATCATGGATGTACTTTGGTGCAAGGCCATGGAGAGACTTGTACACCAGGAGAGCTGCTTTAAAGTCTATCCTCTGGGCCACGGGAAGCCAGTGCAGAGACCTGAGGACCGGACTAATGTGGTCGTACTTCCTGGTTCTAGTCAGGACTCGGGCTGCAGCATTTTGAATATACTGCAACTGTCTTACTGCATGTTTGGAGATACCTGTGAGCAGGCCATTGCAGTAATCCAGCCTACTGGAAACAAAAGAATGGATAAGAATCTCCAAGTCTGCCCTGGACACAATATTTTTAATTTTGGCTATATTTTTCAGATGATAAAAAGCTGCTGATGTTACCGATCCAATGTGGCTATTGAAGTTTAAGTCAGAGTCCATTATTACTCCCAGATTTCTGACCTTATTTAAGGGCCTTAGGGAGAGAGACTGAAGGTGACAAATGACGGTCTCTCTTTGTTTCTCGGGACCAAAGACAATCATTTCGGTTTTGTCCGCATTTAGCTGGAGAAAATTGCATTGCATCCACTCACTGATCCGCTGGATACAGCGAAGGAGTGAGTCCACCGGCCCATGCTCTCCTGCAGTCAGTGAGACATAGATCTGAGTGTCATCAGCGTAATTGTGGTAGGACACTTTCATACTTTGAATTAACTGACCTAATGGCAGCATGTAAATATTGAACAGGAGAGGTCCCAGAATCGACCCCTGTGGCACTCCGCAGGTCAGGGCCATATTATCTGAGACATAGTTTCCAATCTCCACACAGTACTTCCTTTCTTCTAGATAGGACCTAAACCAGCTTAGGGCGGTACCAGCAACACCAACCCAGTCCTCCAGTCTCTGCATGAGAATCTCATGGTCAACGGTGTCGAAAGCGGCACTCAGATCTAACATGACTAAAACAGAGACTTTTCCTGCATCAGTGTTAAGCCGAATATCATTTGTTACCTTGACTAGAGCGGTCTCAGTACTGTGGTGTGGTCTAAAGCCAGACTGAAACATGTCAAATGAGTCATTAGATATTAAAAATTCAGTAAGTTGTTGGTAGGCAACTTTTTCAAGAATTTTTCCCATGAAAGGCAGATTTGAGATGGGACGGTAATTTTCAAGTACCGCAGCATCCAAACTGCTCTTTTTTAGGAGGGGCCTAATGACTGCCTTTTTCAGGGCCATTGGAAATGTTCCAGATAAAAAAGACATGTTTACTATTTGTGTCAATGAGGGTAATAGACTACACATAACAGACTTCAGAAATCTAGGAGGTAGTACATCCAGACTGCAGGTAGAGGAACTAAGACCTGTGATTATCTTTTTAACAGTTTCATCATTGACAGGTGCAAATTGAGCTAGCTCACAAAGCCTCACTGGATGTTGCATTGTTACTTGTGTTGTAGAGGTGATGGCATTTCTGATACCCTGAACCTTGTCTCTGAAGAACTGTGCAAACTCATTACACCTGGATTTGGAGTAGTGTTCTAATGGCAACTCAACAGGGGGGTTCGTTAATCTATTGATTGTTGAAAATAGAACACGCAGATTGTTGCTGCAGCCTTCAATAGTTTCAGAAAAGTATAATTCTCTTGTTCTACGTAGTACTCTGTTAAACTCACACAACTTCTCTTTTAAGAGTCTATAATCACCCTGGAGGTTGGACTTTCTCCACTTTCTCTCTGCTCTCCGGCACTCTTGCTTCTGTGCCCTGACCGGGCCTGCTTTTATCCATGGGGCTTTTTGCTTATTTGTGACCATTTTTACCTTCACAGGGGCAATGGCGTCCAGAACATTCAACACACTAGAGGTGACAGAGTTAAGCAGTTCATCTACAGTAGAACATGATGTGTTCTCAAAATGGATCATTCCCATAAATAGTTCACCCGTGTTTTCATTTAAGTGTCTACTTCTAACAATTTCATATTTAGCGGGTGGTCTGGTAGCAAAACACATGTTAAAAAATACACAGAAATGATCCGACAGAGCAACATCAACTACATTAACTTTTGAAATATTCACCCCTTTCGTGATAAGCAGGTCCAAGGTGTGTCCTCTGCTATGGGTGGGGCCACTCACATGCTGAGTGAGGCCAAAGGATTCAAGTATGGAACTCAGCTCTTTTGCGTATCTGTCATTAACATTATCCACATGAATATTAAAATCGCCTATAATGACTAAACCATCAAAATCTGTGCACACAACTGAAAGCAACTCAGTGAAATGATCAGTGAAACTATGGCATGACTGTGGCGGCTTGTACACAACAATAATAAGAATGGAAGAAGATTTCTTTTGTTCTATTTTAAAAGAAACATACTCAAATGATGAAAATTTCCCAAGAGACACCCTATGGGAGACAATACGATCTTTAAAAACTGCTGCTATGCCCCCCCCCTTTTATTTTCTCGTGTTTCATATTCAAATTTGAAATTTGGTGGTGAGGCTTCTATTAAAACTGCATCTCCTGTATTATGGTCAAGCCATGTTTCAGTCATAAACATAAAATCAAGATCATACGAACAGATAAAATTATTAATTAAAAATGATTTGTTGCATAGTGATCTGACATTAAGTAGAGCAAGGTTAAAATTAATATCAGTGTCAGTGGGTTTAGTTGATTGATTACAAAGAACTGGAATTAGATTTCCAGAGTTGGACCGTCTAACTGCTGTCCTTCTTTTAAATTTGTGTTTATTCAAGTTAAAACACATTTCTGAGCTGGTGCGAGGAACACACACAGTCTCTATTGGTTTAAAAAGTGAACTCTGTTGTACTTTGTTAAGTTCCAGATGCATAACTGAGTCAGCACAGTTCAGTGGCAGGACTGTCGTTACACTGCCAGACGGACAGGGGTCAGTGTTTGCACCACAGTACTCACCCGGTGCTGGTAAGGAAGAGGAGGGGGGTGGTGGGGGCCGAGAAGCCTCGGATGTAAACAGTCACGCCCCCCTCGGGGAGCACTGAACAACATGGCGCAGGAAGTCCGTCAACAAACTGGTGCCGTATCTGTTCGGGTGCAGACCATCTGGACGATAGGCCACGTGACGCTTCCAGAACAGGCCAAAGTTGTTCACAAAAATAAAGTTAAAAGTGCTGCATGTAGACTGGAGCCACATGTTGAGCGCCACAACGCGACTGTAGAGGCAGTCACCCCGGTTTACAGTCGGGACTGGACCAGAGATAAAAACACACAACCTAATTACCTAATTTTGACCATTGCGTGAACCTCATCATGCATCTTCCTCCTTTTCTTTCTAATAAAGCTAGAATTCTTGTTTTTGGTTTCAGTTGTGCTACCACATCTCCATAAGCTGGCCCTCGCCAACAACAGCCAAACCGTGGAGAGCAAACGCATTGACATCGCCACGCAGCTCTTCGAGGCCTACAGCGCCCTCTCCTGTTGCTGTATCCTTCTCTGATATGGATCCTTCAACCCCCCTCTCCCAGTAATCTCCTCTGACGTTGACGTTTTGTACACACAGCGCTTAACTGTCTATTTTTCAGCCAAACCGTGTATTATGACTGGCTTGCATTCAGCTCTATTGCCGTAAGGATGAGTCAGTACGGATATAGCGAGGCCGGATACTTCCAGGTCAGGAGAATTCTCTGTATCTCCTTGCGATGAGCGTGTGGTTGAGAGTATGTGTTGGCAGTGTTGGCTTGTCATTTGCCAGCAGGAGAAAGGGAAAAACAAGCCGTCTCCATTTTCAGGGTAATTATATGGTTGGTTAGACAACGGAAAGGATGAGAAAGACACTGGGAGCATGAGAGGAGCAAAGCAAGTTAACACATCGGCTTCGATTTACTGTTATATTTGCCAGGTTTGGGTCATTTACTTTGGTCTCCCAGTTGTGTCTTTCTCCTCTTAGGCGCCTCCTTTCTCTCGGAGACCTTTTCATGCAAACCTCATCCCGTCCCACCCACCACACACACACACTACAGCTGCGTCAGGCCTCATTCCTGTGGGTCTTTTCCAAGCTCTGATTTGACAAGAGCAGCAGTGTCCAGGAGCTCCAGCCCCAACCTCAGAGCCCTACCTCCCACTGCCTTGGCTCTCTTGTAATCAGTGGGAAGGCCTTTCAAATCATACATTCCCATCCCTAAAAATATAGATTTGTTCACTCTGTGCTTCATGTAGTTTCACTGGCTGTGACAGGTGGCACAGAATGTAGTTGTAGATGGGCAAAATTTAAAACGTGATCTAGAAATATTTGTATAAAGGTGGGGTACCTAACTTTTTCCCCCTTGTTGATTATAAAATGTGTTGTTTGGATCAGACCACAATTTATCATAATTCACAAGAAAATATTTTATCTTTTGCATTTTGTAAGAAAAAGCCCTGTGAGTCACAAATTGACGCTATAGGCTGAGAGCTGATTGGCCGAGGGAGGGTGGTTCTCTTTTTTTACTGTTCTGGTTGGAAAAAACTGATCTAAACTTGTGGTTGAGGCCATAAATACATGCATGAGAAAAGTAGTGATAGAACCAAACTGTTTTGAGAGCGAGGACTTGAATGAATGATTTTGATTACATGCATAATTTTGTTATGATTTGAAAGTTACGCACCCAAGCTTTAATGTGACATACAGTACATACATTTAATATCCTATGCAATCTTTCCATTTTGATGACTACTGCTGAATACTGTTCATTTTATAACCAGACATTTAATATTAGTCCATTCTTTGCTTATTCAAAACTATCAAATGTATTTATGTAAGGTTGTCTTTTAATAAGCTTTCACATGATCATTTTACCGGATAAATTTACCCTTAACGCACTGTCAAGTTATTTCTGAGGAGGTCATGGTGAACCACTTCCTGCCTGGTCTGAGGTGTCTCCGGGCAGACATGGAGCAGCTTTCCCCTGAGCATGAGGTATGAAAATACAGTAGAGGACTGTAAAGGACTATTATAGGAATATTCCATCAGATATTGTGGACCTAAACCGATTGATACTCTATTCCTTTCTTACTATTTTAAATTTGAAGGCAGAAAAAAAGCAACACTGCTGCTGTTTTTATTTGTATATTTTATTGTATGTAGGTAATAATGATGCGCAATGTTTCTCAAATTGTGGCATGTGTCCCACTGATGGTACACACTCTTTCCAAGTAAAGACAATAATGTTTTCTGTTGTATCCTTAGGTCATTCTCAGTTCTATGGTTAAAGAATGTGAAATCAAAGTGGAGAACAGAGCAATGGGAGATCCACAAGGGTAAGAAAACACATCCTCTTTAACTTTAATTACATAAAAGACAAAAGCTTTAATCTCGAGGAGGGAAAGGTCATTTATTCAATCTGTAATATATTGTGGGTTCAATTCCCTGAAGCTTCTCTCTCTGAACACGCAAAGAGTGTCAGCGCCACAATCATTATGTGGTTATCTTCACAGGGGCAGAATGAGAGGAATAGTTTTGGTAAAGACTTAAGGACCAGAGACGGCAGCCTCCATGAGGAGATTTCTCCCATCTTGTAAACATGTGTTTCAGACTTATTAAAAAGAAGCGTGTAAGGTCTCCACACAAAAGCTCATTTAGAGGCGTGTTTCCCTCCAGCATAAAGTCAAAATGTGGAAACGTGTGCCAAGGCGTGCCTCAAAGCTTGTTTTTCTAAGATATTCTTAGTTTATTTATTTTTTTGGTTCTTTCTGCAAACCTAAAAATGGTACAGTTCTTTTTCTGAGTTTAATTCTCTTCATTTTTGGCTCGGATTTAGTTTAGTTAGGTTTTTTAAGTCCGACACCAATTAATAAGTCTTCATCCTATTACAAAACATGTAAACTTTAGCACAATTGTAAGAAAGAGCCCAGTGAATTCTTTGAATACTGCCTGAGAGTGATTGACTGAGTGAGGGGGATCTTTTTCACTTTTCCGTCTAAGATTTGAGGCCAAAGAAAACTTGGGATAGAACCCAACTGTTTGGAGGGCAATTTTTTCTCAATTTCATTTTGATCCAAGCCCTTTCTCACCCGACTCTTGAGTTGCTAATACACTATGGACGGATCCTACAGACTTCACTCTCTTTGCTAAATGACCACATTCATGTCTTTTTATGGGGTAGTCAAAGGTAGTCGCAATATCTAAACAAGTCCTAAAACTTAACAGTCACTGACCCAACATTTGGGCCATTTTTACAAGTGCTGTGATATGATGTTTGTTCTGGTGTTAAACAATACTTCTATGTAGATAGCACAACCGCTCTAGCGTGACTCTAAATCCACTCATTGCTCAAAAGAGGAACCTCTGGAGCCGTTAGACAGTAAAAGTCAGGAGGGGCTGACTGATCGCATTTCCTTCTCAAAATTTGGAGTAAAGGCTGTGAGCTCATAAATGGAAATTATTGGTTTGTTGTGCTGATCTGTTTTGACTACACACTTGAATTGTTATTATTTCCTTTGCAGGTCTGTGTCTATTGCTTCCAGTCTGGTGGGCGAAGATGCAAAAACCAAGTTCTTGAGCAAGATGGGGCAGCTCACTACGTCAGGCGCGATGCTAGCAAACGTCTTCCAGCGAAAGAAGTGACCGCCGCATCAACTATCGGCATATTTCAGCTGCTTTTGAACGATTTTCAGCGAAGGCCACAAGGAAGCCAGGGTGAAAAGGTGAAGTTAATAGGCTGAGATTATCAATGGAAAATTCCATCTTTAAATCATAAAGTGCGGTTATGGTGGGGGCTTGCTTTGCGATGCCAGTGTTACCATCTCAGATTTCTGTTTAATCTATGCTTTTTGAACAGTATTCCAAATGACAAGAACACTTTGAATACTTTATAAATGATTAATGAATGAAATAACGTCAAACTTGTATCCATTTCCACTGAAACAAGAAGGGTCTTATCGATTTCATGGTGAGATGTTTCGAAAGGGGAAGCGTTTTGTTGAGACGAGACGACAGAACAGTTTATTAAATCTGCCTGTGTGTACAGTGGGTCTGTACGGCTACAATTTATTGCCTACTTGAAACTATAAAACTGTATGTCCTGCCTTTTATTTCTTCATAGTCCATTTTTGTTTTGACGGCTTCTATTTTATAACTTATTTATTTCTTAAATGAAGAAAAACTTTACTTCCAAAGAAATTTGCACTTCACTGCTGTTTTGTTTAATATATATACCTATATGTTTTAATGCAGTCTTATACATCACTACTGGTCACTACTGTTAATTATTATTATTATTTTGTGGTTACTGTGAAGCATTTGAAAAAAACGTTAATCTCTTTGTTGCACTTTGTCTGTATCTCTTGCAGTGTCTATCGATAATCGTATTTTCTAAAGTGGGGTCCAATATTTTGTTTTGATTTTGTTGCCCTGAGAGAATCTAAATACTTGTATCATACACTGAAATGAAGGTACTCATTCATATGTATATTTGAACTTGGTGTTGCCGCTGTAATAAAAAAGAAAAATTAATTGTGTACTCTAAATGTTTATGTTTTATGAGCGTGTCTGCATGCCCGAGCAGTGAAGTGATCAAGACGGAGAGAGAGTATGTCGGTTTTATTATTGTTCAAAGTGTAGGCAGGTGCTGAGGGCAATAAAACAAAGCCATTTCACAGACAAACACACCAGCCCCCATGTAACTCTTTGAAGTAGTCTATTGTCTACTACGGAATTCAACCACCAACCAAAGTCCATTTTGTGGGGCATTCCCAAGTTCTTATCCCATATGAAATAACAGTGGATCGGTTTTGGAGATTACACTATCGAGCAACAGAAGTGCGATAAACCTATGTGTATTGACAGAAGTCTGCATTGAACGTTTATCATGGAAAAAGGTTTGTGATAAAACAGGATAGTAGTATGAATTAAAACAACTAGTATACAATAATGTATTAAAATGTAAAAATATTTAGATTATGTATTGTATTTAAATAATGCCAATAATTAAGGCCAATGTTCATTACATACACATCCAAATGGGACAAACCCCCTATTTCAAGTGGGATTGTGATTAAGACCTGTTTCTCGAATGCACTGATTACTGATGCAATCCGCCTGCTCATATGTTTTCATTTAAACCTTGTATTTTGTGTGAATTCTGTTATCAAACCACACCAAAATAAGCTACATGTCACCTAAGAAACTGGCAACCCAAAGTAGACACTCATTCTGCTCCATGATTGGATAATCCTCTTTAAAATCTTAACCGTGCTGACTGGGTAGCACTTCGCAGCAAGAAGTTGTTTTTCCACCGCCACACGGTTTCTGAGTGGAGTGCGTATGTTTCCTCTAGGTGCTCCGGTTTCCATTACCATTAAAACCATATACAATATATAAAAATCCTCCAGCTCTGATTGTCCTGACTGAGCCGAGCATCAATAACAGGAGATGTATCTCTGGGCGCTGCACTGCTGTGACCACTGCTCCTGCAAGATGGGTTATATGTTGACGAAAAAATAGCCCAATGGGGAAATAAAGTGTACCTTAAATAAATATTGTGGACATCCATTTGATTATGAATACAATCACTTGGACAAATCATATGAGATCTTTTCAAAGTGGAAATGTTAACCTTTTGCCTGGTGACACAAAAGATTTAGATGTAATTTGCATATTCAGCTAAATAACAACCTCTGCCGTTGATAACACTGGGTGCAGCTCTGACTGTCACCCCCCCCCGACCCAGAAATGGATTAAAGGGGAAGAAGATGGATGGATGGATGGATGATATCTTGTAGAGCAGTGACCAAAAATACTGTCTTAGAAATAAACATTGTAATTCAATCATAGTTGTTGTTGTCAGTAGTTTCCACATAGATGATTATCCCTGAGCTTTCAATCTCTTCATAGTTTTACGAACGTCCAAATGGAAATTTACATGTAAACGACCAAGATGTATATGGGTATGTGGGTTTGTTGCTTGCATGCAGGTATAGTTGATAATTCGTTGGCCAATCCCTGTCTGGCAACCTGCATGTGTTGTAACTGAAGATCTCAGGTTTGTGTGGGAAGCAGCGGCGTTTAATAAACCAGCAGTTTTTTAAAATTCACAGCAGAGTGACCCGAGTGACTCACGGATCACATCTGTTTCCAAAGCACAAGCAACACACATCCAGACTCCAAACCACTGGAACATGGTGGCAGTGCGCAAACCTTTTTCTTCCACTGTGAGGGCGGGAGAGAAGGCATGTGAGTGTTTTTAAGTGCTGGGGAAAAAGCTCCTAAAGCTTCCTCCAATCAAGGTTTATATATATATATATATCACATCAAAGTTGTTTTAATGCAATTTATAAACCCTTTTTTTAATATATTTGTTCCATTCCAACTTGCTTTACGCGTTTTTTCACTGATCAATTGGAACAGACAGTTTTGGCCTAAAATTGTATTTAGCAGTGGGGTTGATTTCACACATTTTATGGGAGACCCTGTAAGAAAACTTTCAAAACCCCTGGAAGAGAAAAATGGCTGTTTTTTTTAACTACAAAATTCAGCTCTCAAAAAAACACTAAATAGCAGTAATATAATATTTACTATCATAATATTTCCATACACAGCACTACAATAAATTACACAGGGGACAGATTTGTTTGCTTAAAAAAACATTGAATGACCAATCTTCTTTTTGCTCGTGTCTGGACCAGGCCTCCTTCATGAACTTTGGCTTGTTGCCCTTAGTAACGCAGCCCACTCACTACAAAGCACAAGTCAAACACGGGTCATCTTAAGTGTGACTCTTGTAAAGCAGTGTTTGGTCTATTGGATGTTTTTTCACTTGCAAAACCTCCAACATTGTAAGCGTCCTGTTTGAAGTGTGGCCCTTAGCTACTTGTCTCTGCTTTAGGTGAGTTTGCTTGACCTCCACGTGGCCGTTTCGAGCCTGATTGAGTCAAGCCACAGCTGCAGTTAAAATGGTCCAAACTGGCACTTAATTGCTACTGTGAAAATCTGGAGGCCCCCGCAAAACAGCTTCCCTCAGCACGTTTTTATGGGAATAAGAAAGACCACAGAAAGTATTCAAGCGTCTGGTCTTTAAAAATGTGTTTTTACTCCCACACCTAAACAAGGATTTCAGTCGGGCTGAACCAAGATGGACAGTGCTAGAGAAAAAGGGAATGAAGTTAGGCTAAAACAGGACTACACAAGTCTTGATTAGCTCGACAAAAGTAAACACCAGCTAACAAAGCAAAAATCGTATTGAAAAATGCAAACAGCCAATAATCACATTTGTTTACTTGTCTTAAAACTTTGTACGCTTTCCTACCATCTTGTTTGCAAAGCCTACTCTATTCAATTTCCATTTTCCATGCTCGTCTGCACAAAACATTCCTCTGCGTGTTCACCTGAGCCAGACATATTTGCATAACTGTCATTTTGAAAAGAAAGAGGAGAAAAAGAGATTCCCATATATGGAGCTGTGAAGTGGGCGTGTCCTGAATCCATGCAAATTCTCTTTGCAAAGCCACCCCTGTTGGCAGCTTCTATAATAATTTTTGTGGGAGCAGCTATTTCCTGGAGGCATTTTTATGACATATTATTGAAGAGAAGTGTATCTAAATAGTTCCATGATCGCATAGTTAAGCATGTGGAAAGTCAACACGTCTTCTGTAAAGTAAGGTAATTGGATCAGTTTTAGCAGTAGTAAAACCAGACTGGAAAGATCAATATTTTGTTTACATCAAGTTTATACAACCATTGCCTCAAGTGCGATCTAATGCATCAGTAAGGTGCACATATAATTTTTCTAGCGTCTATAAAATATTATGTTTTGACTTGAATGGGGAATGCAAATGTCCAGTAAAGCAAATACAATTATGTCAACTTGTATCTAGACTAAAGAGACTAACTTTCTTTTCCTCATAAAAAGCTGGGGTACCTTACAACATACTGTCTACAAAACACATAAGGTTTGGCATACTTCACCCTCACTAAGCCACGAACTAATGATAGAACCAGACCGTTTTGAGAGTTTGGAAATATATAGATGGGATTTATTACACTTTTATGTTCACTCCTTGATGAAAGCAATGTAAGATTTTCCTTTTTTTAACCCCCAGTTTTTATTACAGGCTTTTGACAAATGCTTGAGATGCAGTTTGATTAAAAAAGAGCCTAAAACCAAGTGATAGAGATGCCCCAGTGAGGAAGATTTCAGTTTGAGCATAATTCAAGTAGACATAGTGACCCAAATGGTTGAGCAAACTATTAAAGGGTACATTTTTTTGTGGTTCAGAAACTACATTGAAAGGCAGTGTAATAACGCAGGTGGCATCATTAGTAAGACATGCTAAACCGTGCATTAACAGTATTTTCACACCTGGCCTGAACCTCTGCAGTTGTATCTGGTTGCACGGTGTGTTCATTGACAGTGACAAAGGGAGGTCCTTGCCTGGACACGGTGGGAGGGGCTCCACTCAGACTTTACAAGCTGTTGCACGCTGCTCCTTCACACAGCGTGGGTGAGAGCAGAGTGGAGATGGTCTCACGGCTGAGGTGGGATGTCCCGCGGCACAGGAGCCTGTAACAGTGAGATGGTGTGGAGGTTAGAAGAGCTGATTTAGATAAAACTGTATAGGGGAAAAACACAGACCGGCTTTGTAGATTATTGGTTAGCGTGAGTAAATTGCAAAGATGAAGTTCAAGTTGTTCACAGGTTGGATTTTCAGAGGATGGATAGTCTGTCTGCTTCTGCTGCTGAATGCCAAGGTAGGAGATGTTTTGACTTGATCAATAACAGACAATGTACTATTTAGACAATTTACTATTTGGATTGTCTTTGTTGTTGAGTGCCTAATGGCATGACCATAATGACTTAATATTCCATTTAAAAAGCTTTACATGTCAAACCAGTGAGTTTGTGTATACTGGTCAAACTGAGAGAGGTTTGAAGTTATGCTCTTGTTTGGGTTATTCTTTCCAAGTCTCACCACAAAAACTGTCATTCGTTTCACCACCAACTTTGCAGCCACATCCAAATTGAGACCAAAGATGCCCGAATGTCTCAGTTAAGCACCACTGATAGTTTACCCAAAGTGACACTATGAAGACCCATAACACAAGACTGAAGTTATAGATGCAGCCTGTCCTTGGTACTCATTAGTTATAGTAATTTTTGAGGTTGATATTGATTTTATTTGAAAGGGAAAAGTGAATGGTCCATGATGTGTTATTGTCTGTAATGTTGTTTATTCCCAGGAGCAAACTCTGTCCAGGTGGAGCCGTTTACAAGTTGTGGTTGTGGTGGTGGGACTGCTGGGCACCAGGCATCCATCACTGCCTGTTTGCTTAGCCCTTTTACCATAAGGCGTTCTAGATATGGCTCACAATTGCAAGAGTGATTTTTAAACTTGACAAACAACCCAGGATTAAACTGATCTTAGTTCTGGGTTAACTGTCAAGTCTGAAATATATAGCAAGTTGTAACTGGGACTAAACCATGGCTTAAAACTACACACTAATCAATACTATCGGTCTGATTGAGAATAGGTTCACACTTCTTCACACACAGACACAGACCATCTACATGTCTGAAAAATCCAGGGGTCTGATTCTTAAAGTTAGGGTACCTATAACGCTCAAACTTCAGAAAATGTTACTATGAAATATAACAGTTTGGATGGTACATGCATGAATGTTGTTGCCACTGTCAAAAATAATAATAATTAAAAAAGAGAACCAGCCAATATGTATGCTTAATACATTGCTTTCTAATATGATAGCATGTGGTCTAGCTGATTTGTTAAAATTATTATTGATTGTGAAAAAGTTAGGTATCCCAACTGTAGTATGACTATTTATTTCATGAGTAATTAATCATGACAAAAACAGGCCTGGAAAACAAGTGAACGGTTTTAAGATTAAGAGCCTACTTCCACATGACGGTGCAGACTCTAGCCTCTCTCGCTGTGGTCTTGCCATTTCTGACTCCCAACATCCCAGAAAGAATTCCCCTTGTTTTTCTCCAGCCACCGCTCTCCAGTTTGGACTAAATTCATGTTTGAACTGTCTGCGTGACATTAGGCAACAGTTGATGACTTCAAGATGTGCGGGTAGTAAAAGTCAGCAATCTGTGAACAAATTAGGATTGGTAGAATTCATGTATGTCTGTCTGAAGTGCTTCCTGTGTTTGACTTGGACCACATCCCTAATACCAATTATTTGTGCTGCATGAATTCAAAGCTATTATGTCAAACTTCTTTCATCCATCCATTCATCTCTGTGCTGCTTATTTAATCCTGTCAAATTAAAGAGGATATGCTGTTATGCCCATTGTAGCTTTTCACTTGCAGCTGGAGATGTCATTGCTTTTGTGCCACACTATGTAATTAAGCCTGTCCATATTGTATTTACACACAAAAAACATGCTAATTAGGAAAATACGTTATAAAGTGCTTAAAGGAACAAGCATAAAATGTATTGTTCAACTTGCAGCTGTCCAACTAAGTCAGTACAATTGCACATGCTACATGCGTTTGCACCCAGAGGTGAGCACCTGGAAACATCAATATAAATATAAATACGTATTGGGCAACTACACAACTGGTTCACTTAAGAAACATTCATAACAGCCCTCAAAAAAGTTAAATTTCTGTATCAAAGGAAGTGAACTGACTGAGGTGATGGACCAGTGTCTACTTTTTTGCCACTACTCACAAATGCAGCTTAATTCGATCGGACCAAGCTTTAAAGGTCTCTTAACATACTATTCCGTTGGCAAATCATTTTTCCATATTTCAAGGCGTTAAAAATCAACTCAAAACAGTGAAAATCAAGAAAATATGAACTATATGTGACAATGTTTTTTGCAATGACGTGAAGACATGCAAAATACACACCTTTTTAATGTATAAAACGTATCAGGAAAAAAGTTGGGATCCCTAATCTTCAGATAAAATCCATCATCTAGTTCCAGGCTCTAAAAACTGGGCTTCACGATTTGTTTTTACATGCATGCCTTTTAAGCTTCTGTCACATCCTTAGATCACCTTTTTCAAACAGAAAAGGGAAAAAGAAAGACCCAACATCACTCAAGCCAATCTGCTCTCAGCCCAAAGGGTCAGATAGCGACTCACTTGGCTCTTTCTTAAAATGATGTAAATGATACGTTTTGTAATAAGGTAAAGATAGTGTGTTGTCTGATTTGTTAAAAAAAATATAACTTTTATAAGACTCATTCTGTTGGGACAAACAAAAAGCATCAAATATATAAAAAATAAAAATAAATAGGCCCCATATTTATGTGCTATTAAAAAGCAACTGTATTGTAACTGAACCCACTGCCAGATAGTGTCAGTGCCTTTATGAGTATCTGCACTTGCCCCTAGCGTTCTCTTGTTTTGAATCTTACTATAGTTGCCGCCATTGAGTGACATGCAAACACCACATAAAGATACAGTTGTTGTGCAATAGCGTAAGGCCTCATGCCTTATCACAAATTATCCATGGATCCCCTGGAGGCTTAAAGGCACAGTGCTGCTCTTCTTGACTGAGCGCCAGTGGCTGTGGCAGTTATGCAAAACATGGTGTACCCTGAGACACAGAGGAATGTTTTCAGCATCAGATCCCAGTTTGATACCATCAGTCATGCAACACATCAACAAAAAGACATACAAAATAATAGCGCATAGAATAAAAACAATATTTGTATTAATTTCAAAACATGGGAGATAACTCTGGGATAGGGATTGCTGCAAATTTAGGATCTAGCCAGGTATAACTTCAGTTTGCATTTAAGATTATCTGAGGATTAATATCTAAAGTTGATTATCTAACACCTTAGTTTAGAAAATTACAGATAATGACATGTGAATATGAATCATATTCATATTAAAGCGATTGCCAATAACTATCTGTGACTCGCACACGATCACACCCCCTGTTATCTGAATGTGGAAAATAATAATGAAAACCCTATATTGACAGCTCTAGCCTCAGGTTTTACTGGTGGTAATGCCAAGGGGAGGGACTGTATTATATGTAATACATACACAGTCTACATTACAGTACAGGGCCAGCTATATATAAATGATATTTTTGAAATGAAAAAAACAAACCATTATTTTAAGTGATGCTAGACCAAATGGCACAAAAAAGACTCAAATAAAATACTACAAATTAATCTTGCAAATTATTGAAATATTTGGGTATCCCTGATCTAGAGACAATTTTGTAAAGTAGCCTGTTTGCTTTTTCCTTGTCTATTATTGTCTCAATTCAAATGCACATAGTATATGAAAGTAAAGCTACCAAAAAACCTCTTCCAGCCTATAATCATATGGGTGGATCACTTCATGGCTTATATATAGTGAAGAAAAATATACCAATGCGCAAAACTGAAGAAGAGTGTTTAGAGCTGGTGGTCGAAAACTACAATTCCCAGCATTCCTTTGGCTTCCTGTGAACTCTTGTCCATTTACCCAGTCTGTTTAAAAATGTCGTTGTTGTGAAGTTTTGTCGCTTGAGTTTGTGCAAACACATGCTTCTCATTACAGCTGTGGTCGGGACTGAGAGCAGCATCGTTATCCCAATGCTTTTATTATCAGAGTGGTGCGCTGTAAAACTAAATGAGCCTAATTAAAAGCCAGAGCTGCAGTTGTGATGTTGTGAGAAAATGGGCCAAATATAGTTTAAAGCAACACAGGATACACAATTAAGCTCCAGAGGTGGAAAGTCACATACACTACTTAAGGTTAATAGTTAGACTATGAATAACAACAACAAATCAGTAAATATAATTGTCACCGGGCAGATTTTTCAGAAAAGTCACAATTCATTATATTACACCATTATGTATATGTCACACAATTCTAGTAGAGTAAACTGCATTTTCAAATATAAAAAATTGACAGTGCAAATGCAAAATATAGAGATGATGGAACCTCATGAGCAAAGTAGTGGGTCAGTAGTATGTATATTTAGCCTCTGTGGCTTTGGCTTGGTATTATCATAACATAATGTTGGCTAACTCAGCTCCTGTGGCGAAGAGCTCACTAGAAGTTCACACTTTTCATCTGCCAATCAAACCGCTCTCCAGTGCTGGACCTAAAATATTAATCATTATTGTGACTAGAGTCTAATGAAGTTAAAACATCTGCACAACCGTTTCTGACGATTTGACCTGACATCGCTCCTTTCTCTTGTCTTAGATGGGCGACTCCAAACCAACGTGTAAGAATGACCAATATCTAATGGAGTCCAGATGCTGCAGCAAGTGTGGACCAGGTAAAAGTTCAACAAGCTGTCACCCCAAGTGACGCACATCTAGTGTTGAAATATTACCAACAAGCAGGAATACTCCCATACAGACTAAGAATATACTTTTTTATAATTGGCACACGTTTAAAATGTAGGATAACAATACACATGTGACGCATCAAGCCTATTGACAAAGAATGTATACGCAACATGCAATACTCACTTCCTCATATGAAGAGTGCATATCTTTTTTCTTATTTTGGGCAAAATGTCAATTGCATTAATCAAAGTTGTCCCCTTAGGCACGCGACTGTTTGCTGAGTGCACTGATACAAAAGACACTGTATGTGTCAAATGCAATTTTGATGAATACCAGTCTGGTTGGAGCACAAAGAAAATCTGCACCCCACAGAAGTACTGTGACGAAGGTCAGCACCACAGCAGCAGAAAACATTACTATACATCCACATGCAGATCTTACAGCTACAATGTAACCTCCAGGGAAAGGGTTTGGGCCAAGGCCTCAGAACCTTGTAGCAGAAGAACCATGTCCCTGCCGTCCCAACTTCAGATGCTCTCCAATCAACTGTGAGTACTGTGAGCGGATCCACACCTGCAGCTCTGGATATGGACTCGGTAAGTGAAAACAACCAAGAGAATTATACATGCAAAGAAATAAAGCTGTTTTAAATCTGGTCAATCTACATTTCAGAAATAGTGGAGGGAAAGAAGATATGCCTTCCCTGTAAGAAAGGGTTCTTCTCCAATGAAGACAGCGCTGATCAATGCAAGCCATGGACAAAGTAAGTGCACCTCATAACAAACCAGCTCATTCTTGGATTATTTCATCTTCTTCACAGTGCTTTGGGCAAATGCATTTTGACTTTTACGTCAGCGGCTGCATTCTGTTGTGACTAACATACACACCACTTCCTTGGAACACAAGTCCAGCCTCAGACTCCGGGACTGTGGCTGTGATCAATGACAGACAGAAACACTCTCTTCTCCATGTGTGCCTGTTTACTGCGGTTTAGAGACAGGGAGGAAACAAGGCCATAATAAACACTGTCAAGTCAATAGTCCATTTTTCCACAAACTTGCAGTGAGACATGATGCATATTTTCTGAGTCTGTCACTTAGTGCAGTCTAATATTACAAAAATATAGCACAAATAAAGATATAGATCAACTTTATTGCCCATTTAGTTCAAGAATCACATATCACATTTTAGAGACCCAGTAATTGGAATATATTTGCCAAAAAAATTCAATTCAATTTATTTTTGTATAGCCTTAATTCACAACAATAGTTATCTTGGAGAACTTTACACAACCATCGAATTTGCCAACACAGATGTGAGAATCAAACAATTCAAACACAAGAAATGGACTGATGACCAAAGTCCATAAATGTTGAGCCCACTCAATGAACATCAATTGCATAGACAAAACACAACACTCAGTTAGAGAAAGTAGGTCAAGTTATATTTGTACATGTCTTGACCCCAAACCTCATACCTACATAACGCCTTCCTTTGCTCCTCTTTGTAGCTGTAAAGCGTTGACCAGGACGGAGCTCCAGGCCGGCACTGCTGATGCTGATGCTGTGTGTGGAGCACCTGTGTCTAGTAAGTCTGTCTGCAAAAGATCCAAACAATAAACAATAAATAACACAAGAAAATAATTATAGCCTTGGCAGACACGCAACACTTTCACAGAGACCCATAAAAAGCCTTTGAAATATACTGTGTAATTAATGGCTGGGAGTAAAAACACATGGCTGTCTCACAGGTGCAGCTCCTTCATGGGTGATAGTCTCAGTGCTGTCGGTCATCACGGTTCTCTGCCTCCTCATCCTCCTGCTCTTCTGCTACAAAGACAAGATGAAGCTGCTTTCAGGTATGTTATTCAAAACTATGAAGTAACAGTTGAGCCTTTTTTCACTTGTTTATGAGTGTTTTTTATCTTTTTTATTGTGTCTAGTTAACCTGCGATCCTGTGTCCAGAATTTGAAGAGAACGCGAATTCAGCAAGTAAGTCCATATACTGCATTACTAAAAACCTGTATATGTTCACACTGAAATGTACAGAATATAGAAAGAGTTTTACTACTTTTAACCTAAAAAGTTTAATCTACCAGCAACACAATATAAACATTTTACAACACAAAGTTGCAAACATTATTCACCTCTAAATCTATTTAAATACATAATATTAATATTTTTCAATCCCTTAAGTCAATGGGCTCTATGCACGCACCACTTCCGCGTTTTAGTTACAACCCCACTTGACTTCCTGTGCGCGGGGAACAGCTTGAGTTTCACTGGAGTTCAGTAGATGTTTACACGAGTTTCCTAAATAATGCTCAAACGGGAATTAAACTGTGAAGATACTGGGCATTTTTGGGACACAGCAGTGCTCTTTGATTGTGCTGTCATTGTGCTTCTATAAAGTTAACTAATCTCTCTTGAGTGGCCACAGTCAAAGCTATTCCTCAGAGAGAAAGCACGTCGACACTTTTGGGTCAGTCTCACAGCTGAATGTATCAATCTAATTACTAAAAAACGTCACTACAACTCACCTAAAAGCCATAGCGATAGCATAGACAGGAAGTGAACAGGCTGATCTGTGTTAACAGGAAATGACGTCACGCCTCCCCTTGCATATGCCCATATCCTCAGATATGTTGTGCTATTTTAATAATGTGTGTTAGAGATCGTATCTTATTTTTTTGCTAATGAACTACTCAATGTTTACCGCTCTTAAAGCTGGGATACCTAACTAAAACCATCCATTGATAATGTTTAATAATGTAAATGCATGTAACTAACTCCTAGGTTTCAAAACATTTCTATCACTAATTTTTGCATGGATGCATTTTCTGCCTCTGTCACATATGCTTTTCAAAACATAAAAGTGAAAAAGAGATTAGGCTAAAAACGATGAGTTTTAATTAGTTCATTTCTAAATGTCTAAACTCCACACAACGTAACTTTTGATGCAACTTCCAGGAGACGTTGGCCCCGCTCTATCCCAGTGGCGTGACTGGAGGTCTTCCCAAATGCAGTCCATGTGAAACCACCAAACTCGTCTGTCAGGTCCCACTCACCCAAACCGAGGACCCTCCTTTCCCGTCGGCTCTGGCTGCCAAAGCTCTGCGGCCACAGGAGGAGATGGAGAAGGAAGCGTGTCGGGAGAAGACCTACTCTGTGGACCTGAGCGAGGGGTTTGGAGAACCTGAAGAGGTGTCGGAGGACGAGGGGGATATGGTCAGTGCCCCTTCGGTTTCATGTGGCTGTGTAGCTTCTGTCCAAGAGCCGCTGGAGGTGGGAGAGAATGAAGACTGTAGTCAGGCCGTGGATCCTGGAACTTTGCGAACGTGCTGTTGTGGAGAGGAGCGAAAGAGAGAAAGTGATGGAGAAAATAAAACCGACTATGTGACTGGAGTATCACTAGTATCTCTTTCATCCCACAGTCCACCCCATGAACTCTGTCTGCCCTTGTCAAAAGCCAACACTAACATTGCCATAAAAGCAGACACTTTTAAACTGGAAGAGCCGTACAAACTGAAATGCTTAGATGTGACTTCCATAGACAATACCAGTAGTGTAGCGTCAGCAGTGAGCTCCGTCGGCCCACTGATGACTTCCTCTTTTGGGGGAGACGTCTATCAGGACAGACCACCACAGTGCTCCAGCCTGGGCCCGTCCTGTGAGGAGAAGGGGGCGAAACAGCTCTCGACTGGCGACTGTGATGTTGAGTGTCCAGGAAGCCTCCAAAGTCAGCTGGTAGAGCCAAATAATACCTCAGGTGGGCTACAAACATCTACATTCTTTACCTGCCATTATTGATCACTTCGTCCATTGTCTGTATTCTACAAATCAAATGTATTTCTTTATAGTAATTCTTTAAAACCATATATGTATATAGGTCTAAGTAATATGTTACAAATATATATATAGCTGATAGAGTTACGGTTCCAGAACTTTTAGGACAACACAACTTTTTAGTGATGAATGTGGGTGTGAGTTATTTTAATCCATTATTTACACAATAGTATCGTATTAGTAGGTTAGTATTCCTTAAAAACAACTTTCCTGGTGGAGGGTGTTGTTAAAGTTATGAGTCATATCTGTGGAGAGAAGAGCTGATCTGAGAATGTATGAATTCATGTTATTTGAGCAGTGACAACATACAGTATATCATACCCAGGTACATTCCAAGCAAGGCCATAATATCTCCATGGCAACACGTTGGTAGTGGACTCCATCAGAAAAGTTGCGCAATGTACCTTTAAAGCAGGGCGACCTAACTTTCAAACCACAGAACAAATAACTATGCAATACATGTAGCTAGTTCCATGCATTGTTTTCAAATTCATTTATTTTTTGGCCTCTTACACATCTTTATTTTCAAAAGTGAAAAAGAGAGGACCCCCCTCACTCAGCTAATCAGCTCTCTGCCCTGAATGTGACTCACAGGACTCTTTCTCAGTATGCAAAAGATCACGTTTCCTAATAAGATGAATGACATTCTGTTGTGGTTTGATTTGATTACAAAAAGTCTGATTACAAGGTGTGTTATTTATAAAAAAGAAGTTAGGTACCCAACCTTTATGTTTTCTTCAAGGACACAAGGCCTGTAAACACATTCGACTTAGAAATAACTGGGTGGCGGTTGTTGGCATTCGGCTGCAGACAACTTCATCCATTTGTGGCAAGTTAGATCGACAGTTTCCCCTAAGCAAGATGCATTGTGGGTGGGAGGCAAATCCGCAGCACCGTGAGAAAGACAAGGCGACTCCACACAGAGAGATCAAAGGCACTCTGCTTGAAAATCTTACTATTACTGTTAACCACTCTGCCACCATGCACAAAACATTGCCAAAGATTACAAAAGGAAAAGTTTAATTACTGTCACTGTTTATGATTCTGAAAGTTGCACAATACACTTAAATTTGTCATTGCAATCAGTGTCAAATATTTGTGTAGGCACTCACCGCTCCAGCAGCCTCACATGCATCATTTGGGATATTGCATTTCGAGTCGAGGATTTCATTTCCACAAAGTAGGTGGTTCTTTTCACCCAGAATAACACAAGGAATTTTCTTTTGGTTTGGATGGAAAGTTTTACTGTCAGACTTGAACTGCTGTTATTCACAATGCAGTCAAAATCTGCTGCCAAGGAAAAAATACATGCCTGAGGAGGACTGATATATTTATGTATGGTAATGTTCAGTACTTATGTATAGGCAAAATGATCTCAAAGCAACTTGGATTTAGCCTGACAGACAATTTTCCAAGAACAATGTTGGTCATTAAAGCTGGGGTATCATTTAGTTTGTCCCAACAGTCGTTTGAGATTAAATAAGAAGAAAACGTGCAGTTCTAATTTAATTCAAAAATATGTTATCCTGTGCATACTTTTAAGAGAGGGCCCTGCAGGTCACTATTTGACATTCTGGGATGAGAGCCGGGGAGGTCCTCCTGTTATTGCTTTAGTATTTGGTGCAACTAGTAAAAGAAAAGAAAAAAAATAGAAATAAATAAACACAATAGACATTTAACATTTCCAAAAACAATATGCATGTGAAAATTAGTGATAGCACCAAACTGTAATGAGCTATGAACTAGTTAGATGGATATTTTTTTTTTTTTCATAGTTCAATATTGCTTGACGTTTAAGAGCTAGGTACCCCAGCTTTAACCCAGAGGTGTGGTTTCAGAAGACCACACAAGAGGAGAAGATACTTGCTTTTTAAAGCGTGAATGGAGCCTAAGTCTCCATTCTACCTTTTTCCATCTCTGCCAAAGTGTGTGAGTGTGGCTATTTACCCAAAGCTTCAGAGAGTTGTGCAAACTGACCACAACTTAAATGGAATCAAGATGTGCCTCGCTTGAGAAATATGTTTTAAAAGTCCTGCCCTCCCAACACAAACACGCTAACTTGTGAAGGGCTTTTTTTAAACTCACGCTGATGACTGGATGCTCTAATTACACTTATTCTAAAAAAGGCAGCGTTTCCCGTTACTTTGTGTTTGAAAATGAAGAAAAGCGCGCCCTGATAATGTGGACGGTGATGTCAAAGGTGTCGCCTGTGATCCATGAACACACATTCCCAATCTCTATAAGTTTTGTCTAAGTTATCTCAGTTCAAAGTACTTTTTCTGGTGGAAGATATCAATATACAAAAATAAGAACAACATGTTTTTAGACCAGTTTACAAGTTAGATCTGTGGTGAATTCACTAAGAGGGCTTATTATTTTATATTATTGATACATGGAAACGGTGAGAACCAACCCACCAAAATTGTTACCGTTTTGTAGCCGTTTTTATGTGAAAACTACAAAAATACGAACACTAGACCACAACTACAGTACTAATCCTCACTAAAATATGTACTAAAAATAGGTGAACGATTTGCATTTGAGACAATGTACTCATATTTTGTTGAATAAAACATTTCTTGCACCGCAGCGATGCACAGTGAGGCTAAAAATAGCACGTGTAGCTAAACATATGAACATGAAGACAGATGTGAATTCAATTAAAGTGCAACTGATTTTATTTCAGTAAATTGCAGGAGGAGAAAGCTTCCACAGTTTTCAACATTGGTCAGTCTTGCTATTGTTATGCCTTCAGAAAATCAACTTGGCATTAAGAAAGAGTAAACAGTGAGAAGCCAAGAAGATTCCACAAAGATCTGTTTTCAAAGTTGTGGTGAATGTCAACTTTTTTCTTCATTTTGCCCTCAGTCAAATGGCATTCCAGTAAATGGTCTGTACACAGAGAGAATCAGAGCTTGTTTGACTTTATGACTTTACAGGTCTAGGGGATGTTTACCTGTTTCATGGCCATGTGTAATATATAGAGTGAGTCTATTCAGGCCAGACAGTCGCGAGCTGAGTCACAGGTCGACCTGATTTTTTCAACGGGAAGTCCATTGGGTCAAAAAGGGGTTATTCTCTAATGCCAAAACTGAATTTTCATGAGCCGTTGTTAACTTTTGAATATTACTTCATTCTTTGTTTTTAAGACATCAACATATTTTCCTCATTATTTAGTCATGTCTATAAACCATATGACTTTGGAAAAAAGGCTTGTTTTTGAAGCGCTCACTTTCTCACGCTTTAAGTGTATGTTACTAAAACAATAAGGGAAAAAGGATATGATATGCTGGTATTCTGGATTTTCTGAGGTCATTTTGGTCATTCCTCCCACTGTGCATTGGTCAGATGGGGTTATACCCAAGAACTCTGAGTTGAGTTTGTATTAGTGACATAACCACATGTGACAGTGACATTAAAGACCTTTACCTCTCGTGCAGGTCAAGTCTCTGGACACCACAACACTACCTTTATCTCCAGTGGGCAGGTGATGAACTTCAGTGGTGACGTCATCGTGGTTTATGTCAGTCAAACATCTCTCAGTAACGAGGAGGCGGGACCTGACGATGCCTTTGGGAGTCCAGTGCAGGAACAAGCCGAGGACACCATGTTTCTGGAGAGTAGCTCAACACAAAACTCACTAAGACAAAGCACTTTCCAAGAGCCCACGCTGCCAGTTCAGGAGATGATGGATGAGCGAGCACCTGAAAAGAGGAAAGGGACAAAATAAATATCTCGTATTTCACACCGTATCAATGCAGTGTGCAGAGGTCTTCACATTATGGGACCAGGACGAGCTGTCACATCTCAGAACAGGTGTATCACTATGTTTTTATGGAAACCCCCATTTCCAATGGGGATTTTGCTGCAGAAGGAAAATTATTGCAGCTCTTAATATAGTGTGGAAAAAATGTACCTGGCTTTTGACCATACAGATATTGGTTTTTTGATTCCACTGTGTGGAAATGTGGCCTCTTTTTTAAATCAACAGAGAGAGTAAATGTTGTATAACTTCTTTTTACATTTGTACAAAAGAGGTGTGGTACAGGGAATATCAAGTAAAACAAATCTCTGTTGGTTTATAGGCTCAAAGAGTTTAAGAGATTTTTAAGATAGCATGCATGGTTTATTATGTTTGTAAATCACTTTTTGCATTGTACTGTAAGTGCAGTTTTTGAGTCAGAAATGCTATGCATTTGATAAGCTATTTTACTACTGGATTGTTTTAAATGATATTTTATGTGCATTCAACTTTCATGAAGGCAGTTTAAACATGTGGAGTTTTGAACTAAACTTGTGATAATTATACATAGTTCCATGGACATATCATGTAATTGTGAGGCAATAATGAGAGGAAACTGTTTTAAATACAGAAATCTTGTACATATAAAAACTGCAGTAAATGACTGAAAAAATAATGGTTGAATTGTGTTTGGTGTCTTTCTTTGCTGATAACTGACAATCTGCACCCCGTCAACTTTCCTATTTTAAGACAGACAAATGATAATGACAGGGTCATTTATTGCCACAAGAAGATCTATAATTTTGTGAAGCTGTGCTAATTACACATGTGCCGTAGCTGCTCTGTCGTTGGCCTGCTGCTGACACACAAGGCCTTTCATCATGTTGTGGACGGAGCGCAGCTGTGAGGAGAAGCCAATGTAAGCAGCTCCCCCTGGACCACATGAGAGACTGTGCCCTTTGCGGATCAGCCCTGTTTAGCTCAGTGTGTGTGTGTGTGCGTGCCTGTTGGAAAACAGGAAGTTATGACTGGCTTTCACATGGTTTACATGAGACCTGCCACACACAGAACAGAACCAACCTAACGTTCTAATTTTTATAATCTAAGATAATTCAAGTGCAACTAAACTGTGCTGAAACCATCGACTACAGCTAAATGTTGCTCAGGTGCACCCTCTAGTGGCAACTCCTGATGTTACTGATTTGCCAGCTCCGTCATTAAAATGATACATTCATTTGTACCTAAACACAGTTACTGTCCAGGTTGTTCATGATGTTGCCTGGAATATTCCACAAACATTATTTCAGGTCATTTCTGCAGATAAATGAGTCAACTCACAGTAAATGGTACTATTTATCTTTAATAGAATGTGGCTGGGTGGTGAGACCTCTCACTTCTCAGCAAGTCGGTCCTGAGTTTGACAACCTTTCAGAGCGGGGCCTTTCTGAGAGGAGTTTGCATGTTCTGCTGATGTCTGCTTAGGTTTCTTTAACAACACTGAACAGGAGATTCTCAATCTCAACTGGGCTATTCTGGTTAAAAAAGTATCTATATAAACATTGTTTAGTTTAATACTATACTGAGGTACATTACAAACTTGAATTATTCTCAATTCTTAGTCTGGAACTTGTGTTATTAACGGATACTGCTGGAGGAATGTGGGATTTCACTGAGGAGGACAAATATGACTGAATAAGAACATTAGGGTTACCCCTGGAAAGCACCAAACACTTTCTTTACACCAGATAACCTTACAGCCGCTCACCTGCGGTCACGGAGTTTTCATTTCATCCTGTTCACTTCTACAACGCTCTACTCAAGGAAGAGGTTTAAATATTTGTGCTAATATGCATTATTTTTCTATCTAATGAAAACTAAAAACACTTTCTCCTTAAAGTTGATACTATAAGCAGCATATAACACAATTACAAAACACAGGTTGCATTCTGTACTGTTACATAAACACAAGAATTGACCCTTTTGGTCCAAATACTTGGGCTTGCTCTCTTCTAAAACAAATCCGGGGTTGACTACTACTACTGTAACATGCATGGTCAATAGATATTTCTAATTTTAGTTTTCTCTTCAGCCTGGACCAACGAGGATAAACTTACCTTTAAGACCGTTTGTGTCCTGAAATCTCCCGAATCACATGTCTTTCTGAAAAATATGTGAACTACTGTATACTGATTCTATAATAGTTCTGGCTAATACAGTACTTAAAAGCTTCCTTTTAGATATTACAAAAGGTACTCTCAAAACACTGCAGTAATGAATTTGTCACATTTGCATGGTTTAAACAAAGAGGAGCTTATGCCACATTCTTTCTGCTAATTGTCCAAGGTCATTACAGTTTCAAGTCAATGAAGTCTCTGTAGTTGATCTGTGCTATCTGTACAGATATGTTCGCCTTCTGCCTCAGTCTCTAGACTGACACACTCGGCCCAGGATACTGCAGACGTATGCCCCCAACAGGAAATATGGATGTGATCAGGTAAGAGGCCTGTATATTCAGCATTATATCGGCATTATGTCCTGTTTTCTAAAACATTAACAATTCTTCCTTTGTGTTGAAAGCCGTCCGTATTGTATATGATACATCTCCAGATATCAATGGAATTGTGACATGACTTTTCACATCCTGCACTTTTCTAGGGCTCTGTTTGTCCCTAAATGGTCTTCAGATGTGCGTCTCAATGGAAAAACAGCCATCGTGACTGGGGCCAACACAGGCATTGGCAAAGAGACGGCCAAAGACCTCGCCAGCAGAGGCACGCTAAAGAGATTAAAGCCCTTGTATCAAACAGCCGTACTAACAGTAATCGATGTGTGTAGGAGCCAGGGTGATTATGGCGTGCAGAGACATGGCCAAAGGAGAACAAGCCGCCCGCGACATCCTGAGAGTTGTGAAAGGAGCCAAAGTAGTCGCCAGGCAACTAGATCTGGGTGACACCAAATCCATTTGTCAGTTTGCCGAAAATGTCTATGACAGTAGGTGACACATACTTACATTACTCTCTTTAGAAGATATTAACCTTAAAACAACTAATTTGTAACTTTTTCCCCAGATGAGAAAACCCTTCACTATCTGGTTAACAACGCAGGAGTAGCTATTTGTCCTTTTGCGAAGACAGTGGATGGATATGAGATGCAGTTTGGAGTGAATCATCTTGGTAAAATTAAAACTTTTTTATGGTTAAGCATGTGGAAAATCCGAACATCAAGGATGTTGTTATATAAAGCTGCTAAAAATAAAAAATTAAATAGAAATAAAATAAGATCAAAATGTAAATTTAGGAATTATTCATAGAGATTTTGTTTTTGCCTTTGCTCAACAGTGATACCTATATTAAATGACAACCCATTGTACAGATTAAGTATATTAATATCTGATGTTATCTGGATAAATATTGTGTTTATGTTGTAGAATTCAATACAATTTTTAATAGAAATGTTGTAAAATAAAATCATGATTTGATAATTATTAAATTTAGAAACCCACAATATTCTTATGTCTGACAGTCTTTTCTACTAGCCAATATCAGGCATATGTTGTTAATATATTATCAACTATGATGGCAATATTTCAAAAACATTTGCATCTACAGACAAATAAAATGGGAATTTTTGTGACCTTTTTTGTTTTGGCCCTCTACCATAATTTTAAACTATTGGCCTTTGAGAATGTTTGGATGTCACAGGAGCGGAAATTATTTGAATGTCTGAGGCATTGAGGTTTGAATCAAGAGCTACATAATCAATTATCCATTTCCGCCCAATTTTAGGTCATTTCTTTCTGACGTTTCTGTTGTTGGATTTGCTGAAGCACTCGGCTCCATCTCGAGTCATTAATGTCTCATCAGCTGCTCACGCCATGGGCAAGATCCAGTTTGACGACCTGAGTGGAGAGAAGGACTACCACCCTGTCAGAGCCTATGCACAAAGCAAACTGGCAAATGTCCTGTTTACCCGTGAACTGGCCAAAAGGATGGAGGGTGAGAATCAGATGAGAGTTTGTCTTTAGTCAATGCATAGAAAATGGATCTGAATGTGTTTGTCAATGTGATAGTCCCATGTCTTAACCACAAATGCCCTAAAGCACAAAATGAGATAAAGTGGCCGTGTGTTGGTGAAATAAATTGTGGTCTATGTGAAGCGTCACTTCATGTACTTAGGATTACTTGTTCATTCAGAAAATGTATGTAAAAACAAGAAAATCTTTCCTCAGCTTTTGGTGTGACTGCTTATGCAGTGGACCCTGGGGCGGTCAACACTGAAATCACCAGGCACATACGGCGCCCTCTTGTGGACTTATTCAAGACCTTTAGTTTTATGATCAAGACACCGGCAGAAGGCGCTCTCACAATCATTTACTGTGTCTGTAATCCTGAGAGTCAGATGGTCAACGGTGGATATTACAAGTAAGTCAAGTAATTACTGGGTCATAATCTCCAACAAACAGGCAACAATAGCCTAACCGTGTAAAACATTTCGTTGTACTACATGTAGAAGTTGTGTTTGTCTATGTATCGATAATATGTAGTACATGATGAAAAAGTAAAAGTGGCTCAAATGTATTGTGGTGCCATGTCTCCCATCTGCAACTGACGTCTAAAGCAACACTAGAGTTGAAGACACTGTTGAGAGACAGTACAAACAATCTCTGAAAGTTTTAAACTAAAAGCATAATTCTAATCACCACTGTCAGACTCTCAGATAATAAAACTTTTTCAGATGGAATATGGGAAAGCATAATCAAATTCCATGATATTTATTGTGTATACAATTATTCATGGGTTGGCTCCTCCTTCAAGCTGGCTCAGAGCCGAGGGGACTGTGATGTTCCTTCGTGAACAATCAAAGTTTTACAGTGTGAACTAATCATCGGTGTATGTTTGTCTGTATTCTTGTTCTGTAATGGGCAGAATGCTCTTAAGTTTTAATCCTGCTTTTACTAACCTTTTTTTCCCTGCTGCATGTGGCATTTAAAAACTGTTTCTGTTTGTTTGTTGATGGCTGTAACATCAACCTGTTGTGGGACTACAGATGGAAACTTGCCTTCATGGCTAAATCTGGCATATTTACATGAAAACATATAGACCTTCTCCCACTGATGTCTGATGTTGATGTGTTGATGTGCAAGACACTTAATCCCACTTTGCCTGAAGCTCCCGCTGAAAGATAGAGGCTGTGCTCTAAACGAGCAGCCATCCTCCCGTGGACTCACCTCCTGCAGGAGGATCAGTGAGGGGCAGGTTATCTGTGAACTGGGTGCAGCTCTGACTGCCACTGGGATGGGGGGAGATCTATAGAAGACACTAACATTATAATAATGGAATATTTCCAAAAAAGATTTTACACACAATCCGAACATCCAAGTATCCAACATTAAATTAGTATTGGGAATAGAGGTGGGAAATATCTATTTGTGATACTAATACTGTTTTTGATTGTTTATTATCGCCCACCCTCATGGGGGTTGTTGATCTTGGCACGCATGCTGTGCATAACATGTGGGAGGTAAAAATTGCTGAGGCTGTCCATACTATGTGGACAAGTACTCACGGATTTTCAATATGTGATTTTGTTTTCCTTTTTTCTGTCGCCGTGCAGGGACTGCGCTGGAGGCGAAAGCTGCAGAGCTGGTCAGGACGATGCCACTGCTCTCAAACTGTGGGCTATGAGCTGCCACCTGCTGGGCATCCGCTGGAGATAAACTCACTCTTCATATCCTGTGGAAACAAACACAGGATTATAATAGCAAAAACATATATATATTCAACTTACTCTGGTGCTTGTATGTAACATGTTGACAAAGGCTTGGATAATCTGCACGTAATGGCTTGAAAGTGGATGTAATAAAATATCTTGAAAGTGAAATCTTAGCAGGGTAAAAGCAGTAGTTTTTGTTAATGAGATGACTGAGCACGATAGTTATCTGTAGTCTATTTATAATAACAACACATGTGTCGAACTGTGCGAAATTCTTTATTTGTATGTTGTTATTAATCAATTATAATATCATAATTTAGCTTGTAATAACAAGCTGTAGTAATTTCAGGTATTCAGTTATATTTGCGAGGACGTAGCTTGATCTATCACATTAAAATGTTTCAGATAAATAAACTCAACATTGACTACGTTTGCATTGCATTTGTGTTGATACCTTTAATTTTCAGAATAAGAAGCTTCTTTATTGGGCTCACGAAACAAGGTCGTTCAACAGCAGCGGGGACATGTTTTTAATAAAAATAATAATAGTAAAAGTCAAGTAAGGATCGACCGAAACGTGCAACCAATTTATTTCCTACGTTGTTAGCACGTGGATCAATTATGACGCTCAAAGTCCAACGTGATTGGTCCGCACGGGATATTGTTATGGCAAAGGGGCGGGGCGACGTGACAAGGGGACCGCGCAGTCAAATTGAAGTGCAGAAGAGAGGGGCGCTGTTTGAGAAGGACCTGGTTTCAGGCCCGTCCTAAGGGCTGTGCGACCTGTGCCGTCGCACAGGGCCTCGCACCACACAGGGGCCTCGCAATCTTCCTTCCTTTTATTTTATTTTATAAATACACTAGTTCAAGGGTCCCCAAAGGGCAGACTGCACTCCAAATTTGGAACCCTAAACCCCTTTCTCTGGACCTCTTTGATTTCGTTTGATCAAAAGAACATTTTTACAAGTAAAGTCAAATTTTCACCAAAAGCGATTTGTAAACAGGCAGGCGCGCGGGCAGCTATGTATGCAACGGGTCCTCCGAAAAAACTGTCAGATAACTTTAGCAGTGTCTGAGTGAGATACAAAGAAAGTAACGGGAATGATCGCAGTGTAGGAGAGATGGATACTCGCGGAGGAGGAGCAGTGAGACAGGTGTGAGCAGAGGAGCAGACCCCTTTGTGTGAGCAGAGGAGGAGGAGGAGGAGGAGGAGGAGGAGCAGTGATACAGGTGTGAGCAGAGGAGCAGACCCCTTTGTGTGAGCAGAGGAGGAGGAGGAGGAGCAGCGGTGTGACAGGTGTGTGAGCGCTGCTATTGCCAATGTTTAGTCCGAATATCCACATCAAAAACATATTTTTAAAAGCATTAGCAAACACACTGTATGTCTAGCTTTAGCTAGCTGGAGTGTTTTTGTTGTGGTCAGAGTGTGTGGAGGAGGAGGTGAAGAGTATTTTGTTGTTGTCAGTGTGGAGGAGGAGGAGTGTATGTTGTCAGAGTGTGTGGAGGCATGGCAAAAACGTTATTTGATGAGAAAATAATAATATTGACTCCGCCTCATAGCCATTTTGGCGCATTTTGCCCAAATCTAACTATTAGAAGAAAAAGACTCCTTTTGGTTCAATCTTTTGAGTTGCTCTACCATTTTGCCACAGGACGAAAGAGACATGTCAGCTAAAAAGACCGCGACCAATATTGCACGTAGAGTGTGTGTGCGTGTGTACGTGCGCGCGCCAAACGCTGCATAGGAGCGAAGACACTCGGTTACGCGCGTGCTGATCTCGTCAAGCACCGCGCGAGGTGGTGCTGAATTCATGTCAAAGATTATAACAGGAAAAACTTTCCTCAGATCTGGGAAAAAAGTGTCAGGGCAGGGCCTCGCGTTTCGAGTTCGCACAGGGCCTCGCACCCCCCTTGGGACGGGCCTGCCTGGTTTTGTACAGTCTGGATCTGTTTGAGGGGGAGCAGACTCAAAAGAGCGAAGAGCCCATTCTATTCTGCCTCACTTGAATCCCGCTGTTCCCGACTAGTGGCTTCCCCCCCTCCGCGAAACAATGTACTGCAGGTGGGTGCAAGCGACTCAATATGAAAAGGCTGGAATTTTAAGTAGATTAAACTTTCTGCTTATGTGGATTGCCACTGCAGAAATGTGTGTATCTGCAATGTATAATTTTGAGAACTTTTGACTACATGTTCAATTAAATAACTGCAGTTTTATCATAACATTATATTTAAAGCCTAGTTTAGCTGTTTAAATTAATATATTTGTCGTCATCATCTTTTTTATTGTTATTATTCATTTCGTTTTCCTTGCATGGAATGTCATCTGAGGTTTTTCTTTGTGTCACGACTCATGACTATTTGTAGTGTCTCTATAGAGGTTGCAAATGTATCAACAATCAGATAATAACTGATTATAAATTTGTAATGAAAATACAGAGATAATATTTGAGAAAGTATTCATTCTGAAAAATCACAGACAAACATTACATATTGTTTTTGGCCATTAACAAAAATAATGAGACGATTTAGTTTGTCATTTCATGGTTTAGAATGTGAAATTAGATTGTGCGTAGATTTTATTTTATTTTTTAAGTAAGAAGAGTAAATAATGCTATTGCTTTAAAATTACTGGATGCAAACACTGCCATGAGCTTGCAAAGAATGTCAGTTCACTTGAGAAATTACCAAAACTAGTTTAGGAGTAACACTTTTGTTTTAAATGGGTGAAAACTGCGAGTGTGATGTCATAGTGGTACAATGACATCATACTATTACAGCACTGAGACAGGAGATTTTAGACGCAATGGTCAGTGTTAGATGTTTCTGGCAAAAAGTTTTTGATATTAGCATCTCAAATCAACTCCAGGTCTATTTTTTGACAAGCAGACATTATTGTAGCGTGGTTGAGAGCTAAACAAAACAAAAAAATGCATAAAATGTCGCCCCCAGAAGTGTCAAATTTAAAATCTGAGGAAGACAGAGGAGGTGATAACATCCATAATTTACAAGAAGCAAATAATCTAAGAAGACAAGGTGCAGTTTTTGAATGAGTTTCAATCTATTCAGAACTAGTAGAAAGAACATTTTAGTATGATTTATAAGTGCTGTAAAAAAAAAAATCACTGTCCAAATTGTTATAGATTTTCATATAACCTATTCATTTCCTTCTGAATGAATAAAGTACATCTATCTATTTATCAAAATTGGTGTTGAGTTTCATTAGAAATGGTATTTAAGTTTGGATTTTTAGTATTGTGACAACACTATATGAAATCTTATTTGAGATTTCTAATTTTTTGTGTTTTTCTATTCAATTTATTACCGTGTCTCTATATACCGATACTTAAAACCAAAATAGACACCACAGCAATTATTTTAAAAGGTTCTTGTTTTGACCAAGAACTGACTATTTAAACACAAGTATGAAATAAATCCAAAACTTTTCAAAAATGCTCAAAAAACGTCATAATGTGACAATTCTGTCAAATTGTTTGACCAAAAAGTTTTTTTTTGTAAATCCTAATGGTTTATTATAGAAATTAGCTAAAAATCTAAAGAATATATGGAGAAAAAATAGCAGAACATTTTTGTTTTAGATTTCTTTCAGGCAAAACTTGAATTCACATTTTTTGTAATAAAATAAATTCATCTGATTTCAACCATGCTAAAAGCGTGTGAATATTTGCTTGTGTTTTAGAAGCATGTGCTGTTACCGCTGGTCTTGTGACGAGCGTCTGGATGGAAAGACCGTCCTCATCACAGGTGCCAACACTGGGATCGGCAAAGAAACTGCCAGAGACTTGGCGAGGAGAGGTAATGCGTCGGCTTGTCACTCCAGCCGAGATAAACAATCTATTTTAGGCTCGAGATATTGACTTTTGCACCCTTCCTCCTTCTCCCTTCACAAACTCTCTGACTATAGTTTCTTTTGAACGGCTTGTGGATTAAAGGCTAGACAGCGTGACGTGGCCCCTGCTTCTAGACCTCCGACAAAGCTGAATTCTTGGCGAAACCCATGCCAATAATTCCCTGTTTCAATAGCCACAATGTAGACTCAGCAGGCAGTATTTCACACGCATCGCAAAAGGTATTCTTGTCAGATGCCTTTGAATGCAGCTCTATAGACTTGGGGTTTGCTTCAATCAGAGGGTGCAGGATTTGGGTAAAGTAACTAATTGCGATTTTCCAGACAATCACGGGCATCACAAATATATTGTAAGTGGATATTACAACAACTACCGGAGCATTTCATTCCATATGTATGTATATTCTATATGAATTATATTTACGACATCTCATGTTTTTCAAAACATGAATGTATAAACTACAGATCCTCAATGTATTGTCCACAAAATGGCGAAATACAGTTGTTTGCAATGTAGTATACAGCAACTTGTTAAATTATTATTTTGATTCATTTTCACATTGCAGCCCTAGTAATATTCTAACACAAAGGAAATAGGTTTAGGGTTATAAATAAAACACCTATGGACAAAGCATTGGTCCATATGTTAACATGCATAGATGTACACAGTGCCTTCAATACCAGTCACTACTAAAACTTCAAAAACTAGAGCTAGAATCTGAATTTGAAATTATTGGTTTTGTGTACGCAATCTACACGTGTTTATCTTGGCTAAAACATACAGAGGTTTAGCTGTTTCTGAATATTTTTGTGTTTTTACTTGACACCACCCGTACACTGCATGAGAGAAATGGCCACGCTCATTAGACGCCGGTGATGGTCATGGTAGACAGACAAGGGGACAGACACAGAGACGGCATTGTGCTTCCTGCTCCCCTCCCCAACCACAGGGGCAACAAAGAGCGACCCGGCACAGGCAAACGCAAGGCTGAGTACATGAAAACTCTCGATTCAGAGTGTGCATTGGTCTGAAAAGCACAGTGCGGCTCCCCAAATACCTCCTACGCAAAATATGCTTTCTATTAGTGCTGGGAGAAAGGTGCTATGTTTTGGATATTAATGGATGCTGTACATAATAATTTAAAACAGCATTTGATTTGTTTTTTTATTACAGTGCAATGGATGAGACAATATGACAATTCCACTGTAGCCAACTGACCATAATGACAGTATAATTCCTTTTCCCAATGCAATAGATACTAATGGAAAATATCATGTCTTTGCCTTTATTATGTCCTCTGTGATCCAGATAATTAGCAAACACAGGCTAATTCTGTGCAAACATCTTTCGAGGCATACATAGACAGATTGTTTTTGCTATGATGAAATGATTACGATGGATTTATAATGTAGCAAAAATGTGGGATTATATCTTCTGCAGTTAAAGATCTGTGTTTTTATTAAAAATAGAAATTGCTAGAAGGTCATTCGACAAGAAAGTTTTTGTTCAGTTTTGAGTGAACCAATGCTGTTTCCTCAAGCTGTCAGTACATTTCCAGAAGCCATTGAATGAAGTGGCATTTGTGTCTCAGTGCAGTAAAAACGGGAACAGTCTGTGCTCCCACAGTGCTATCACCATTCCCCAAATGCTGGATATTTGAATTCATCATTTAACTTTAGTTTTTGAGCGGGCAATGAAACTTTATTGCAAATTCACCAAATACATAGCAGTAATAGGATTTTGTTTGCTTTTCTTGGGTATTAAAGGACTTTTGTCAATACCGTCTGATTGTAGGTTTAACACACATCTTAGTAGTCGGGTATTCTATTGATTATTACCTTTGATTGATCTGTTAACTAATTGTACATTGTTAACTGCCTTATTAGTATTGTAAATGTAGGCTTCATATTTATTAGAAAATGAGCCTTAATAACTTGCATAGAAATGTGTAGACACATCGGTTCCGACTTGAAACTGCATAAGTGCACCGCTCCCCGCTCAGTCCTCCCACTGCTAATGTGTCACAACAGTAATCAGTCAATCACATTTAGCTGCCAGTGCGCTGTCAATCATCTTTCACATGGCTGCATTAAAACACTGCCCTGCATTGACATCGATCTTTCATATCGAGCAGAAACCCTCCTCCTCCCCACTAGCCAGACACCAGCTCTTTAACCCTTCTCCTTAGCTTTAGGTCCTGGTGTCATGTGTCATTCCAATGTTGTTCCAAGTCATGTAATGCTTTTAAAGGTGGTTGTATATACTTTCTTGATAAACATATACATCAAATGTTAAAATTAAACACACAGGCACACAATCTTTATATACAGTAGATGTAAAAAATAAGCATTGGATGTGATTGAGTGGTCTGAAAGGACAGCCCCAAATGCCTCCTACGCAAAATCTTTCACTAGTGAGAGAGAAGAGGTATTAATGTAATAAACAAGTTTGAAGCCCAGCCAAGGATTTATTGTAACTAGAAGGGGAACAATAACACTGCTATCTTGGATATGACGGATTGTATCATATTTTGGTAATGGGTCCTTGCAATAACATGATGGCAGAGTAATTAGGTTTGTGAGGATTCATTAGACAGCTCCATCGCTTAGAGTGAGGAAACTTACCAGGGAAATCAAATGTAATCGCAGCAATCATTTGTCTTGTAAAAAAATATGAGATTTTTAATGTCAAAGGCACTCAGCATTACAAAAGGAAACTTGAAGCGCAGGTCTTTAGTAGGTATGCGAAAAAAAAACATGAAGCTGCTTTTGATAATTCCAGCTTTTTTCCATGGTGAATTGTTACGCATGTATAACAACAACTATTGATTTTAACAGGAATGCGTAAACAACTGGGATGTTATCTCTTGTAAACAGCGAGAGACAAAGAAAGACACGTTGATGAGATGCAGACCCTTCTCTGGGGGGACATAAGAGCTCTGTGCAGTGAAAGTTTTCCTCCTAAACCCATTACGTGCTCATTAGCTTATAATTTGCGTGGGACGGCACATTTCAGCAGTTCTTTGTTTATGTGGGGAATGACAGGGCCAGACGCTGATTATGTAAAGGCATTTCTCTGTGTACTGGAACAGTTTTAGAGAGTTCTGAAGTGCAGCAAACTACTTCAGTTTAAATAATCAAATCAATTATGAGTATTTTCATAATGAGGGCATTGGTGTATTCTCATTTCCGTCATTCCTACACGCCCATCACCTCACATAGCAAAAATATCCAAACTTTATACTGTTTTTCACCAGACTTTGACTTTGACTTTGACAGGTAAATTAGAATATCATTCAAAAGTTAATTTATTTATGCAATTCAACCAGGAACTTTCTGAGTGGAGTTTGCATGTTCTCCCCGTGTCTGCGTAGGTTTCCTCCGGGTACTCCGGTTTCCCCTACCACTAAAAATATGTCCAATAGGCATGTCTGGCATGCGCCTCCTGTACTGGCGACCCCGCTCCCATCTCTGTGTGGAGTGAGAGACAAATGCCCAAAATTAACAATTGTAAACCACTTTGTGACTCAGATCTGCTGTGAAAAGGCGGTATATAAATAAAGATTACTACTACTACTAAAGATGTTTTATTTTGAGTTTTAAAAAAGCTACGATCTCATTATTGACATTAAAACCAATTACGCCTTGATTTGTCACTTTGCGTGTAATGAGTTATATTTTTATTTATTTATTTCACCTTTATTTAACCAGGAAAGTCCCATTGAGATTAAGAACCTCTTTTTCAAGGGAGTCCTGGACACAAGTTTTATAAAACTAGTCACATACCTATTATAAAAACAGTCACATACAATTTCATAAAATTATGGATTATAAAAACAGTTAAATTCCAATGAGGATGTCTCAAGTGTTCTCAATCTGCATCTAAAAGCATTCAATGAAATAAGTTCAGATAATTTCCAGTCTTTTTGCAACATGTTCCATGTAGAAGGAGCAGCATGTACAAAAGCTTTTTTTCCCAGTTCTGTGCGGGCAAAAATTTATTAATTGCAAATTAAAAAATTATATTAATTGCAAAAGTATAAGATAAGATAAGATAAGATAAGATAAACCTTTATTAGTCTCACAGTGGAGAAATTTCAGTGTCATTGTTGCACATTACAGCAGAGAAAGGAAATAAGAGCACTCAGATTGCACACATCAAAGTCTATTATTTAAGATAATAGACAATAATTTAAGATAAAATAAAATAAAATAAAATGAGATAAACTCTGGGCTATAATTGCACTTGGTTTGGAGTATTTACAGATGTCTATATTATACATTAGCAGCGGAGAATATGAGAATATGAGCAGAATAAACATCAGAAATAATATCAACAGGAAAAGTGACTTGAATGGGAGAATTATCAGATATGAAATAAAACAGTAGTACTGATAACAGGTAAAGTGACTAGTGACAAAGTTACTGGTGAATTATCAGTGACACTTGTGCAGACTCAGCAGTTCCTGTTACACATTCTCGTTGTACAGTCTGACAGCAGCAGGAAGGAAAGACCTGCGAAACCTCTCCTTCACACAGCGATATGACTTTCGAACCATATTTGACATGGATGAAAACATTCATACAGGCATGTGTACAGTGATTTGTCTCCACTTTTAATATCCCATACAGTTTCATACGTATTTATCCACAGCATTGAAGTCCTGTGGTTACGAGTTCAGAATGCAGGCAGGAGTGTTATTCCTGTCCCAAATCATGCTGCGACCCAAACATGGTTAATATGGGTTTGGCCTGAGGCGGACATCGACAGTCTGCATTGGGTCAAAGCAACAATCCATCTATTAACCCATGATTGTGAAAACCCAGTCAACTTCCTGCTCTGCTGTCACCTCCTGCGTCTAACATTAACAAGTCAGGAAACAGGAAAGCACCAGTAAAAACAGGTTTATGTCTCCTGACAATTAAATGTTTTCATAAAGTGGCCTTTACCAGTCTAAATGTTTGTTGAAGGTGCTCGCATTGTGATGGCGTGCAGAGACTTGGAGAGGGCAGAGGAGGCCAAACAGGACATAGTGGAAGACACCGGGAATGAGAATCTTGTCATCAGGAAACTGGATCTGTCCGACACAAAGTCCATTAGAGCGTTTGCTGAACTCATCAACAAAGGTTTGACCCACGAATGTGAAAGAACGATACGAATTCATTTTAAAGTTTGTTTTATTGTTTGGGTCTAGAGGAAAAACAAGTCAATATTCTCATAAACAATGCTGGTATCATGATGTGTCCTTATTCCAAAACGGCAGATGGCTTCGAAATGCAACTGGGAGTCAATCATTTGGGTAAGATTTAGCCAATTTCACACTTTCCGAGCAATTGAAGAGTTGTCGGTATCAACAACAGAAGTCGTTAGAAAGTCGTAAGAAAAAAGTGAACAATGCTTTTTCTTCTGTCAGTTCATGTCCAGAAGCCATCGAATGTGGTGATATTTCTGTCTCAGTGCAATAGAAAGGAGAGCAGTATTATCCCCATTCCTCATATGCTCTATGTTTGAATATTTTTTAACTTTTCTCTTTGCGTGGGCTATGACACCCTCAGCAGGTTCTCCAAATGCCGTCATAGCAGTTATTATTTTAGGTTTCAATGAAAAATGTGTTTTGATGTCACACTAAAACAGGAACTGAATAACAATAGAGATGTCTATAACTTTAAAACCTGCTCTAGCCTTTCGGGCCTGGGACCTGTTTTCATACTTCCTGATGATTCTTGGAGTTGACCTAGGATTTCCTTTATGTTGCATTTTTTGCTTTCAACATAGTTGAAATATATGCAAATAGTTCAATTCTTCTATTAAATCAATAGTTAGACAATAATTCCAAAACATGGAAATAGATACTAGATAATAACATTTGATAAAACGTATATTGTATTGTACTAATAATTAAGTGTTTTCTTCAGCATCAGAATCAACTCAAAATTATTAAAGTCCCACTATCTAATTGTTTTCTTGTAAAGCCTCTTTGAGTTTCTAGAAATGCTCTAGCTATGCTATTTAAATCTTTAAATTGATTACTTTTTATTTTTATTTTTTTTCCATGGTGATATTGTTTTCTTTGAATTACATTACGATCCTGGGACCTCTCCTATTTAATCTCTACATGCTGCCGTTAGGTCAGTTAATACAAAGAAACAAAGTGTCCTACCACAATTACGCCGACGACACTCAGATCTATGTCTCACTGACTGCAGGAGAACATGGACCACTGGATTCGCTCCTTCACTGTATCCAACAGATCAGTGACTGGATGCAAAATAATTTCCTCCAGCTAAATGCAGACAAAACCGAAATCATTGTCTTTGGTCCCCAGAAACAAAGAGAGGGCGTCATTTGTCAACTTCAGTCTCTCTCCCTACTTCCTTCAGACAAGGTCAGAAATTTGGGGGTAATACTGGACTCAGACCTAAATTTCAATAGCCACATAAAATCAATAACATCAACAGCTTTTTACCATCTGAAGAACATTGCCAAAGTTAGAAATATAGTGTCCAGGGCAGACTTGGAGATTCTTGTCCATGCATTTGTCTCCAGCAGGCTAGACTACTGCAATGGCCTGCTTACAGGTCTGTCCAAACAGACCTGTAAGCAGCTGCAGTACATCCAAAATGCAGCAGCTAGAGTCCTGACAGGAACCAGGAAGTATGACCATATTAGTCCGGTCCTCAGGTCTCTGCACTGGCTTCCTGTGGCTCAAAGAATAGATTTTAAAACGGCTCTGCTTGTGTACAAGTCTCTCCATGGCCTTGCACCAGAATACATTAGTGACATGTTGGTGTCATATGAACCGGCCCGGACTCTGAGGAGCACAGGGACTGGCCTCCTGCTGGTGCCCAGAGTGAGAACCAAACATGGGGAGGCTGCGTTTCAGATCCATGCAGCTAAGATCTGGAACAATCTCCCTGAAAATGTGAGGGAGGCGTCTACTCTGTCAATGTTCAAATCCAGGTTAAAGACTGTTCTGTTTGCCTGTGCATACAACTGAAGGATTTTATCTCCATTTCTAATGCACTGCTGTCATTTATTTTTTTTTTAAATTTCTTGTGTAATTTTGAAAGTTTTAATGGTTTTATTCTTTTGTGTGATTTTAATGTTTTAATTGTGTTTTAATCTTTTGTGTGATTTTAATGTTTTAATTGTGATTCTGGTGTTTGTTTTATGTGATGATTTGTGATGTGGACTGTGAAGCGCTTTGTGTTGCCCTGTGTATGAAAGGCGCTCTACAAATAAACTTTGATTGATTGATTGATTAAACAAATCTGAATGAATAGCATTCTTAGAATAGAATAGAATAAATCTTTATTGTCTGTTCAAAATGAGCAATTTATGAAAATCATTCATAAAACACATTTAAAATACATTTATCAAACAGTTAATAATTTATGCAGAGCTACCGGTTGTTTAGGGAAGTGACTGCAGACGGGACAAACGATCTCTTGTAGATGTTTTTTCGGGCCAGCGGGGTTCTGTATCTCCTTCCTGAGAGAAGGAGAGAGAAGGAGCCATCCAGTGGGTGTGTGGCGTCTTCAGTGATGAGAGTGGCCTTCCTCAGCACTGATTGGCTGTACAGCTCACAGAGCAGAGTTTAAGCAGAGCAGAGTTTTAAGCATGGTTTTAACTTTATTATTAGTATTTTTATTATACAAGCTATGAGAGTGTGAAGGATGCGTGTAAAGGGTCTGCAAGATAAAAGAAAAATTATTTTGGTTTTAAAGTTGGCAGGTGTCTTTGTGTGTGCTTATTGTCACGGGCCAGTCTTGACTATATCATAAGGTTTAGCATGTATCCATCCTGTGGCATGTGAATAATACATGTACATCTTCTGTTCTCAGGCCACTTCTTGTTGACATATCTACTCCTGGACCTTATCAAGCGCTCTGCTCCTTCCCGCATAGTCGTGGTGGCCTCCGTGGCTCACACATGGACTGGACTTCGTCTGGATGACATAAACAGCGAGAGGAGTTATGACACTATGAAAGCCTATGGACAGAGCAAGTTGGCTAATGTTCTTTTTGCCCGATCACTAGCCAAAAGATTACACGGTATGTAGGGTGACTGAAAAAATATAGTGCATTGTGATTCAGGTGGAAATTATATGTAAAATCATGCAAATATAACCAGTGGGGTCGTGAGTGTCTGCATCATATGTGGGGTGATAATGTTATTCCTGTTTGTTTAGGCACTGGGGTGAGTGTGTTTTCTCTGCACCCGGGAGTAGTGCAGTCAGACCTATGGAGGCACCAGCACCAGTGTATCCAAGTGGCAGTGAAGATTTTTAGGATATTTACAAAGACAACAGTGGAAGGGGCACAGACAACTCTATACTGTGCGGTGGAGCCCGGTCTGGAGAGTCAGAGTGGAGGCTATTTCAGGTAATCAATCCTTAGATAGAATTAGCCGATCAATACATATTTGGGTTGAATGTCAAATAGGTGGCCACCGTTCAAGACTGACTTGAATCCTCGTACAGAATCCTTGTTTGAGCAGTTCTCTCCATATAATAGTCACTTCTGAATATTCACTTCTCCCTCTCAATTAAATGGAATGCACATTATATTATGTCATGAAGATACTGTAGTAAACCGTATACAGTAGTTACATACTATTCTGCAACATATGAAAAGTACATTTTTCAACCACGTATTTTGGTTAAACTTGTCTGTGTCAAAACAGTCAACTTTAATATTGAAAGTAAAAGTTGACAATGTGGCTCAATATAATGGATGAAACTAAAACCGTTGTCTTTCACACATTGAAATATTTTCGCTGTATGACAAAAATAGTTCTGTTTGTGTTTAGTGACTGTGCGGCTGCGAGATGCTCCAGAGCTGCTTCCAACGACGACTCTGCCCAGAAACTGTGGGAGATCAGCTGCAACCTGCTCAGCATCACGTGGGACTGAAGAGAAACACGACTTCAGTTCAATTGTGTGAGCGTTCAGAAGCCCCTGGGAAATCACAAACAGACAGCTATAGCCTCGAAAGTGTGTTGCATTTTACTTAAAAGTTTTATTTTACAATTGTTAATACTGTAAAAGCTGATTGTGTAATGTAATTAACTCACTTACTGACCATAGCATATTATGACTATATATATATATATATGTATGCGTTGTATGTACATAATGTAAGTAAACCGATTTTGTAATTATAGCCTCTGAATTTTCACCTTTTTTGACTTTTTTTTGTAGCCATATACAGCATCTACCAGGGTAATTTCCAGTGCCATTCAAAGCAAACGTGCGCATGTTATGTGAGATATTAATCTGAATCACGAGAGATGGTAAGGAGCTGAAGAATGTGTACTTGTACGTATCAAAGGCCCCCAATAACTCAGTGCTTGTCGTGGCTTAAACATGTGACATTTTTCAAACAAACGTTTATGTTTATGCTTCATTTATATTTATATTGCAGTGCACACACATTCTATAGATTCATGTGAATATAGTATAGCAAATATTTCCATCATAGTTTTGTTTTGTTCAATGCTATAGAAGTTAATGTCCAAAGAAGCGCTTCATAAAAAAATCTTTATTTGAATTATTGTTATTATTATTGTCAGAAATATGTAAGGGAAGACAGGTCCCATATTTATCACAGTAAGGTGCATTTATGGTTCTGGGTGCACAACTTTCCTGGTTTAACATCAGCTTTTTGTGTTGAGCTGTAAAAACATACATACATTGAATAGTGTACATATTTTATATCATACTGAGTTATATTACAGCTGTGGATTGCACCTTTGAAATGAATAAATCTAGATTAAAATGAATGTTGTCACATTTCATTAAAGCTGGGGTACCTGGCTCTACAACAGTTTGGTTCCATCATGAGTTTTCACATTCGTGGTTTGATGTATTTTTGGCCTCTGTCACATCTTTAGTTTCAGATAGAAATCAGCCCAAAGCGTTAAATGCTGACTCACAGGGGCCCATCTTAAAATCGTGTCGTGTAAAAATAAAATGTTTTCTGATAAGTGCAGTTAAAGCAGTCGTCGGCAGAGGGCAGCGTGAGCCTCATGAGCCTGAAGCCCACTCTTTACCAAACAAGAGCAAGTTCCTGACGCATGCGCAGTGTAAGGCTACGTCAGCTCTCCTTTCTAAGCTACAGTTGCGACGTGGCCTTCAGTCTCCTACTTCACTCTCCGTTTCTCTCCTCAAACAGACTCCAGCAGGCGCAAACACAGGTAAGGACGGACTTTATTCTCCTGACAGAGGATAAGAAACTATCCAACACGACCAAACATCAGACCATAGTTCCAGAACCACTGCTCTGCTGGTTTCGGCCCTGTGTGCTTTAGTTAAGCCGAAGAGATTGGGTCAATGTAGTTTCATATTCTGTCTGTGTTGATCCTAGTTTTTCTTTTCTTGAACTGTATATTATAGAGACGCTATAAAGGACAGATAAAACTGCTTTTAACTCTGGCCTTTCTTGGATGTATCTCCATCTGCTAGTATACGTCAGCACGTGATAACATCTCTAATATTGTCCTAGTTAAACAACCTATAGTCTGTATAATGTGGTACATGGTATTTTGATAGACTTTATGCATCTAATTTAACACATAATCGTGTTTTGCAGACGCGATGGATCAAGTAATGCAGTTTGTTGAGCCCAGTCGGCAATTTGTCAAAGACTCGATAAGGCTCGTAAAACGATGCACAAAACCTGACAGAAAAGGTGAGCCATGCCCTGCTTTTTAAAAACACTTATACTAACAGTTAGTAATTTAAAAAAACTCAATGAGGTGTACGCTGTTCTCTTCTTGACAGAATTCCAGAAAATCGCAATGGCCACAGCAATAGGATTTGCCATAATGGGTTTCATCGGATTCTTCGTCAAACTTATCCACATCCCAATCAACAACATCATCGTGTAAGTATAAAAACCACAGATCCACGTCACCTCATGTTTTCATGCAAGTATCCTTCTATATCGTTTTTGGATTTAAGTACCAGCAGTGCTTGGTCAATTAGAAATGTGACTTGAGCTTGAGAACCACTGACTGAATGTGTTATGAACCAGTGGTAATTGTTATACATTTAAAACTCTAAATTGATTTGTAAAGTGCCAACTAAATAGATTCACAAGTGTCAAAATGAAAACTTAAAGACCAGTGGTCTCTTACCTGTGAAGGCAGAGTAACAGAGCAATACAGGAGCATCCAGAGGATGTCTGTGTATTGTTTTCATGGACTTAAAGGTGTGAAAACTGCTTCTCCTACCCTCGGCTCAATATGACCCACCACAGATGATTAATAGATCCTTTTTTAGGGTATTTTTCTTCTAATGAGCCATGGTAGGAAAAAATTCAGCTTATATTTTTTTGCATTTTTTTTAATCACTGTGGCATGTCAATTTGACCAGAAGAGTGTTAAGGTTATGGTATACGTTATTGATCCCGTTGGGCATTTTGTCCTTTGCGGTGACCTATCCTGCAATGCCACTAGGGCAACTGTCAGTTGCAGTGGTGGCCGTTGTCCAGCACTCGGGCTCCAGATGTTGATGCTCTGCTTGTCCATTTGATCTTAAATCAACAAAGCAGTTGTAGAAATACCCTTTTGTTTAGGATAAGACTCATTTTATTAATCCATAATAACGATGTCTTGTCTTTTTCTTTTCTAGTGGTGGTTAAATTCATGACTGACCTTCAGGACTGAGAGATGGCAACGACTACGACAACCATTTTTTTTTTTATTAGGCTGTGAGTGAAGCTGGAGACTCTTTATTTTTGAACAACATTTTTATTCTGTTGTGTAAATAAAACAATGAAACATCACAATCCTTTTTATTTGCTCTATGAGAAAGGCACATGTGTTATGTTCAAATATAAAGAGCTATTATTTATTATTAATCAAGATTGTGTAAAAAATATGGCAACTAACATTTGTAAGGCCCAGAGAAGCTGTTCACAGTAATAACCATTTGTCAGAGTTTGCGGACGCCCATGCTCCAGAGCAGCGGCTGGTCGGTGGTGATGGTCACAGGTTTTCTTGGTTCTCCTGGAGGCTGTGGTTCATACGTGTTGGATGTGCTCACCAGCTTTCCAAACTGCAAGACTTGATTATCTGCACATAGAGATTAGAGACGATAGTAAATATCATGTCCATCAAAAAGAACATGAAAATGCACAACAGCTTTTTGTCATCTCGACCTTTTCTGGTGGATTGACATTGGTTTAAATGTAGTATTCGAGTTTTGGACCAAGCAATTGGAGCAGAGTTCATCAGAGTGTGGTCAACATTTATAGGACAGGTTTAGTACATTTAAAACATTTTAATGAAACGGATTCAAATGCATACTAATCAATTTGCAAATCATTTGTACATTGGAGAAGTTTTGGCAATTTCATAATTTAATTAATCCTCAAAGTCCAATTATGAACTACACAATCACACGTATAGACTGTATCATGTATCACATAGATTGATATTACCATTCACTAAACTATCACAAACACTATATCATATTAATACAAACTAGGATTACATTTGTAAAATCTTAAATGTGATCATGCTAACTTGTGTTTTGTGAAACATAAGGTCAACCAACACACAATAGAAGAAGCAACAAACTTTTTGCATTGTGCTTTGAGATGAGTTTTTCCTGTAAGTTTTATCGGACAAGGTATTTAGTGAGATTTTGACCATGCAAGGTTGTTTGAGGGTACACAGGGTTCACAGCCATAACCATTCACTTTGAGAGCCCATTATGCAAAGGCCACTGCGCTCCCTCCACATTTGAGGTTAGTGAGGTGCAGAAATTGCCCTTATAAAAAGATAAAATGTTTCTCTTTTAAAGGCACAGCCGCCTCCAACAGATAAGGTGACCACTGAAGAGGAGCAAAGCAGCTCTGATGTGGCCCCTCACCGGGGACAAGATGGGAGTCAACAAGTTTAGTCTAAATTAATATCAAATGATTGCAAGCACCAATGATTTGATTGATTAATGCAGATTTCTCATTTGAAACATTCTGCAAGCATGTAATGAGACTGACCCCGTGTGGCCACAGATGGAACTACAGAGCCCACAATTTGAACGTAACTATAGAAATATCCTTATTTTCCACATCTGAATTATTCTTTACAAAGGAACACAACATAAAACATTAAAAAGATCCTACAAGATTATTATTGTTTATAATTTCTCAGTACATTGGTCACTAAAACACAATTCAATGAAGGAGTTAGGCTTAAGTTTAACACACAAAAAACAGTGGACCTCTCTCAAACTTCAAAAACATCCAAGAATCAGCTTCATATCTAATATTACAAGTAACACCACAAGTACTGGTCTAAAACTATACTACTTAGCGGTCAAAAGCAAAGCTAAACTATAGCTAATACTTAATGGCAGGACTAAAGGGTTTCTATGGGCACAGAAAGAATAACCCAAGAGAGAAACAAAAAATATGTATTGCTAGTTTTTTTGAGCTGAACTGAGCAAGGCAGGCAAGGCAAGTTTATTTGTATAGCACAATTCATACACAAGGCAACTCAAAGTGCTGAACAAAATAAAGCATTAAAAACATAAATAATCACAGTACATTCAAAAAAGAAAGATACAAATATAAAATCCCTCAGTATGCACAGCTAAACAGGACTGTTTTTAACCTGGTTTTAAACACTGTCAGCGAGGAGGCCTGTCTCACATCTTCAGGAAGATTGTTCCAGATTTTAGCTGCATGAATCTGAAAAGCAGCCTAAAGCAGATAAAACTATTTGACCCTTTGGGCTGAGAGCTGAAAGGCCGAGTGAAGTAAGTCCTCTCTTTTTCACTTTTCTGTCTGAAAAAAGCTGATCTAGAGACGTGACAGAATGTAAAAATACATGCCTGTGAAAAATATAATAATACCACTACAAAACTGTAGTTTTGGTTTAAAAGTTAGCTACTCCAGCTTTAATTTAGATTTTGACTTGAGGCAACAAATGCCAAATACAATGTTGTGTGAAGACACAACATGGATGGTTATTGTGTAATTAAACAAGTATATTTCACACTATTACATCAATCCAAAACTCAACAAAAGTAATAACAGCACGGTTCTAATTTCCCTTAGACATAAGAAATTAAAAAGAGATTGGCATATCCACAGCAATATTAGTATGGCTTTAGTTTTCAAAGGTGAGCACAAACGAACAAAAGCGAGAAGGAACAAACGGTATCATTTGTCCACAGGCAGCAGCCAGTACATCAAACAAGCACAAAGAAACAGTGTGCTTCTTCAAAGACAACCGAACAAGCATGGCAATAGGGCAGCGTGACACGGTCTGCAGAGAAAATGGGCCTTATGTGAAGCGTGCTTAATAACAGAGCTGAGGCAACTGTCGTGTCGCGCTTTGGATATACAGACCAACGGGAGTTTTCAATTGCAGGCTTAAGTAGGGATCATGTAAGTGCTGTTTGCAGGGGGCGGCTTTAGTCCCATATATACTGTAAGAGGACATGGAGAGAGGGAAGTGATGTTATGAAATCAAATGATTATTTAACACAAACTACTGCAATCCATAATTGTCCATATTTAGTGCAATCATTATTGGACAAAATTTACAAAATGTACTATTTTTTTTTCTATTAGAAGATTGTATTGTTTGAAATGTATTCTACTTCAGCTGTGCATGTCTAACAGATTTTTTTTTGGGCCAAACATGTATGTTAGTTTGCATTTTCAAACTGCCACAATTCTCTTTCTGCTTGAATTCAATGTAAGAAGAACAATCAATAGTTTTAAAGTACTTTTACATTTACTGGATTTAATTTTAATGTTTGAAATTCAGTGTTGACAGAACCAGTTGCTTTTGTAATATATTGCAGTTAAGTTATTTAGTAATAAACTACAACATAATAAATAACATAGCGCTGATAATGATTGAGGCGACACGGATTATTATCAGTTCCTATAATTTTGGGAGAACAAAAAAGAGGTTTCTACTTCTGTTCTGGAGCAAAAGTCACTTGAAGTATAGTGTAACTCAATTACATTTTAAGGACTGTAACGTTGTACACAAATATACAACATTTCTTTATCCAAGTAACTAATGTTAAGTATTAAGTATAAACATTACAAGAGAAACTTTAGATAAACACTGTTAAAACTGTGTCCTGTGAGTTTTGTAAATGTTGCTCAAACGTTCAAAGTTTCGCATTGACGCCTGTTGTAAGAAGATGGTCTGGGGCTATGGAGAAATTGACCTTTTCACGCCACAGAGCCATAAATTATTACTTCATGTTTGATAACGCTAAAGGGCAGCAGTTTAAAATGACGTGATGTGATGAGGATGAAATATGCAGTTTTTGGAAATGTCAGATATTGAATTATCAGCATAAATTTTGCCAATAAACGTAAAAAGGCAAAATATATGATTAGATTAAACAACATAAAATTGTTGTATGATTCAGATAAACAAAAGGGTAAACAGATATGATTTTAAGGAAAGAATAGAATACCAAAAGTGGCCACTAGGGGAACTATAGCACCACAAGATGGACATGCAAGAGTATGGTGGGCAGAAAAGACTCCATTTACAAAAAGACATTACCGCGCACACGCGCACACACACACACACACACACACACATACACGCACCAAACACACACACACACACACACACTCAGCAGCGTGGGTTCAAACTCTTTACCAGGCACAATGGGCGTTCAGATGGCTTCATTAGTAATCCCCTCCTCATAGCTGATACCGATCAATAACGACCCCCCCAGCACTGAGGGGGACCGAAATGAACGTCGCACCCTCCAGTGATAACAATGGAGATGTTTGCTGCCTGTAATTGCATTTCCAGCACAGCCACAGCCCAGAGCTTCTCGTCAGCTTTAAGTAGAGCGTATTTACACAACAAATTACCCAAGAGGGATGGCAACAGTGGTGGCGGAGGTGGGCATGGAGAGGCGGTGGGAGAGAGGGGGCTAGTGGACAGGTAAAGAGGGGAATTTATCGGTATCTGGGGTCATTTTCAAAAGGGAAAAGAGCCACTGTTGTGCAGCTATATTTGCTTCTCAATGGGTTTTTATAAACACTTTCTCCAAGGGCATGTTAGAGGGGGTTTTGGCATTCGAATAGTGTGCTTAAGCATAAACAGTGATAAAAACAAAGCATTTTTAACTGGAAAGGCAGCATGGTGTGGAGGATTCAAGTGTTTCAAGTGAACTTTCTTCACTTCACTATAATGAGCAACTGGATTTATAGATCTATTTGAAAGGCAAGATCAGGGTTAGGGTTAAGTTTTGGTTGATCACTTTGCTTAAGTTATTCTGTATTGTCCCCGTTAAATTTATACTCTGCATTTAACCCATCCTTTATAAGGCCAGCCTTCATAGGGCCTCTGTCAGGAGCCAAACAGGGGTCAGGTGTGGAATCTGACCTGCAGAATTTCTACTGTGGACCTCCATTATATCTGTATCACTGCTAAAGATTATTATCGGAAGAACTGAAAGTATTTGTTCTGACTGTTTATCAGAATCTCTATCTGAAGCATGCAGAATTAATATCTCAAGTGATAAAGTCTCTGTTCTGATGCACATTGATACAAATCATATATAAATCTTTGTCCTCTTTTGTTCAATCTGGAAGGTATTGAAAATAAACTGGGTTACAGGTGCGATCGCTACTGTCTCTGTCTTCATTTCTCGACACATGTTTCTAGCGGGAGAAGAAACCAGAGCACCCAAGGAAACCTACAAAGACACACGGAGAACACGCAAACTCCACTCAGAAAGGCACTGTTCCGACCGGTATTTAAATCTATAGGACCTTCTTGCGAGAGTGCCATCACCTTAATATGTGCTGTAAGTTATTTGTTATACACACCCACAAGAGATGTCAGCAGGTCAGATCTGAAAGCACATTTTTAAGGGAGATACATTTTAACATCACAAGACAGGACTGAGAACAGAAAAGGTGGGTCAAATGCGAAGGATGAATTTCCCCATGGCTTTCATTAAAAAGTCTTTCTCCATACTCAACTATATGTGCCACTCAATGCTTGTTATTTGAGATGTTCTGTTTGGATGTAAACTAGTTGTTGACCCTCGACAAATTCACATGCAAATCACC